TCGAATCAAAAGACTGGCGAGAGAGGTACAAGACATGAAGCACAGTTCAGAATCCGATTCAAAGTCAACAAAATAAAAACAAGGAGTGTGAGATTTTCCTTCGTCCAACGGCCGCTGCATCAGGTAGCTTGACTTTGTCTTTATCTTTGACTTTGACGCCATTTGTTTCTTCAGCTGGCCCGAACTCAGATGGCCTTAGTGGCCCAGGTGTTTTCAGGTCTGCTGCGGCAGATGACACGCACAAATCATAGAAGTCCAGCAGAGGTTGGATGACACGCCACAAATAGAGAAGTGCACCAGTTGGCAAGAGTGACAAGCACAAATCAGAGAAGTGTACACATAACAGTAAGACAGCTGAATTCATTTGTTTCATTTTACTTTCGTCCCTGCGGTGAAAAGAGCTCAGTGCGTTACCAGTGCATTTCGCAATATATATATATATATATATATATATATCTCCTTTGTTTATTTAACATGTTTCTATTGAAAATGGATGAAGATGACCCTTTTTGTTCGATAGAAATGATGATTTATTGATTTACCATCCTTAAAAATGGTGATTTTCCATAGCTACGTTGAAAATTGTTGAACTACCATAAATTACAAATGGTATATGAGTATTTCATGGGGATATGTCCTGGGAAAGAATATATAGGAATCCATATATATATATATATACATTATATATACATAAGGCCTGTTGATTATCATTGATGATCAGTTCAGGGATTATATCAACATTAACCCCCAAAACATGGGAGGATCACAATCTATGAATGAAGAAAAACTTGGGGAGTTTTCAGGTGCCCAGAGGGATGTTACCAATTAACCAACGAATGAACATATCCTCTGGCAATCAAACATGGCAATTGAGAATCCTATATAGATAGAGGTTTAGTTGGTTAGTCCTCTGGGGAAAATCATCGAACTAAATCGTGAATTTTCCGGCAAGCCATGTTTGATTACCGGAGGGTACCCTCTGGTAAACTAACATTGCTATGGAAATTGGGTGCTTTTGTTTATCAAAAATTGTGGATGTTCCATGGCTATGTTAGTTTACTGGAGGGTAAACCTCATGAACAATCGCCATTCAATCACCATACAAATCTCATTAAATCACCATTAAACCACCATGAAATCACCATTGAAATCCCATTAAGCCACCATGTAATCAGAGAACTTCAGACATCTCGCGCAAGCGCGAGGAGTGGTATCGTCCCCCCGATCCCGGCATTCCCTCCTGGTTGTCACAGGACTTCTGCTGCTTGGTGCTTGGGATCATCCATAAACTGGAGGAAACAATAAAGATTTCGTTGGGAAAATATGATCTGGTGGCAAAAATCGTCACAGTTCATCTATTTTCCGTGGTTCAACCATTTTTGGGTGTGAAAAGCCACATGTTCTCATGGCAAAAGCCGAGTTGAACTGTGATTTCTGTGGTGTCAAACTCCAATTTTGGACAAAATCATCAAATCCACCAAGTTTTGTTGGGTTCAAACATGTTAAAACTCTCAAAACACCATCTGGTTGGTGGTTTGAAACATGACGTTTATTTTCCATTTCATATATGGGATGTCATCCGAAACCCATTGACGAAGTCCATCATTTTTCAAGATGGTAGGTTTGCACCAACCAGCCATGATTTTTCATCCAGCGGCACGAGGAGTCTCCTTTGGCCCAGCAACAGCAACCGGATCGCCTGGCGGCGGTGATCGGCAGCTTCGAGTGGCCTTCGCGAGGCGTATCCCAGTCAGATGGCGTGAAAAGTCATGGAGTCAGTCATCTGGGTATGGGTCAATACCTATTAATACCATTTTGAGTGGGATGAACATCCATTTACCAGCTATTTTGGGGTTCACTAGGTACCAGGGTTTTGACCCATCCCCATCTATAAAAGTGGCTTATGACTGGGATATCCCATCCATCATATACCATCATCTACAGATTTTTGATGATCAGTTCAGGCTTTTTGAGGATCCATATGGAGGATCCCATCCATCAAAAAGTGGGCTTATCCCATTCATATCATCCATAAATGGAATGTTAATCTATAAACTGATGGATTACCTTTTTGAACCCATCCATCATCTATAGACCAGATGGGTTATCTCATGAAGATTAGGCGCCGTTATCCCATAAGATCCCAGAAAAAACAACTATAAACTGGGATCTTCCATCAAAAAGTGGCTTTATCCCAGTCGGATTCCATGAAGATTAGTGGGTTATCCCATCAGAAATCCCATGAGGATATCCCACAAAATGCTGGTTTTATCAACATAACTTTTTAGTCATATTGGGTCAGAAAATCTTGCCCCATAAAAAGATCATCCAGATTTATCTGGGTAAATTTGATCATGACCGGGTCGCCTGTTCTCGACCTCAGCCAATCATGGTTTATTCTAGGGGATCATCCCAAGGTGGTCCAACATTTCAGGGTGAATTGTTATAATTTGTCCAGATATGTCCAGATAAAATGTTTAATCCAACTGATATAGTAGTTAGTGAAAAATCAAAAACCCCGGATTCCATAGGTTAAGGGAATGGTCATCGGACGAAGGGATGATACTCGGATGGGATGATACTACAGAACTAGAAATGGCGAAAAAATATGTTGTAATGGGATTGTAAGTACATAGAAGCATCATTATAGTTGGATAGTACTAGTATGTACTAGTCGTGGTAACATGGGATGACTTTTTCTGGGAATGTGATGTAGGTGATGGGATGAATATATGGATGTGGTATCACTCCGGGATTTCCATGGATATTTCATGGGTTTATAATTGGACTTTTTCATGAGATGGGTGTATAACCATATTTGGGGATGGGTTACCCTCTGGTAAACAAACATAGCTATTGAACATGGCCATTTATAGTTGATTTCTCCATTAAAAATGGTGATTTTTCCACAGTTATGTTACTCGTAGTTTACCAGAGGGTAAAACCTATGAAAATTACCATATGACTGGGGATAAACATCCACTAACCAGCTATTTCAGGACATTTCATGGTGGGGTTTTGAAGATCATCACCCGTTTTTTCCCCATGATTGCTGCTAAAATTTACAAGACCTATGGTGAACATGTCCTCAGTTTTCATGGCTTCATCCCCTGTGGTAGCCATATCTTGGGGTTAACCAATATTACTCCCGTGTACCCTTTGGTAAATAAACATAGACCCTGAAAAAATAACCCATTTTTAATGGAAACTAGTCTTCCAACCCCGACAACTGGCAGGGTCTATGTTAATTTACCAGAGAGTAATACTTTCCCATTTAGTTCGCTGATTTATTTCATGAATTCCCCAGGAAAAGTGAGACTTTGCAGGTGAAATTGCCAGATGGTAACTCCTCAAAGTTCATTATAACCTGTCAATGATAATTGCAAATCCTTATTAATATACTACAATTCTCAGAATCCATCAATGTATGTTTCATGTATTAACTAAACAATCTTCAGATTCGATTGTCCCATATTTGCTTCGATGATTGCTCTCCATTCACCGCTGATTGTCAAAACCCTGTACTCCTTCTGTTCATCAATATAGCTGGGATGGGCATGGTGGTGTTCATCCCCTTTCACAACTCGTAGAGGTATTGATCCACAGCCATGTATATATATATATATTAATATATTTATATATATAATATCATATTATATATATAATATCATATTATATATATAATATTATATAATATATAATATTATATTATATATATACATCACCGTAGATTCACCATGGATTTACCATATCCGGAGGCGGCGGCTTTAGCTGGTCGGTGTGCCTGCCGACCTCAGGTGCGGCCGAATAGTAGCGGTGTTACTCCTGGGATGATAGGAGATCATATGGGATAATATGGGATAATATGGGATAATAATACTAGGGATAGGGATATTAACCAAGTGATGATTGACCCAACTGGATTTTGGCATCCTATATTTTCACAAAGCCATATCAAAAACCCTTGAGAAAAGGGTGAAAGCTCATGATTGCGACCCTAAAATGGCAAGGTTTTCTTGGGGGATGTAGTGTGATGAAAATTCATGGCTTTGGGACAGGTGATTTACCAACAAAAGTGACACCGGCAAAACCATGGTGGTAAAAAAACGTTAGTTTAAGCCTCAGCAATGGGTTTAACCAGCAGAAATGGTGATTTGACCAAGAATTGATGATTTACCGGTAAATCTATGGAAAACCCTTGGTGATCATACTGATGATTTACCCCTTACCCGTACAAAATAAAGTATCTTAACTACCAATGGGTGGTTGTATAATTGTATAATCAATAAACGAAGATATTTCATATGGGTTGGATAACCATTTCAGCACCAGAAAATTTACCCTCTGGTAATTTAACAGTTTGCTATTGAAAATGGCCATAGAAATAGTGGATTTTCCCATTAATAGCATGGTGATTTTCCCATCAGCTATGTTAAATTACCAGAGGGTACCAACAAATAAGATGGGTTGGATAAGCAACAAATATGTGATGGTACTCTTTATTGTCACATTCATGTGATTGCCACCAGAAAATTTACCAACAAATAATGGTATTTTAGCACCAGAAGAATTTCTGTGATGGCACTCTTTTTTTTTGTCACCAAAAAGTTTCGCTCGCGAAACACTTTGAGATTCTCGTTGAGATTCTCGGAGTCATCGGCAACGTGTTTTGATGACTACCGGCCTGGTAAACAGTTCCAAAAAACGGATGGGAAAATCACCATGTTTGATGGTTAAATCCACTATCAATGGCCATTTTCAATAGGAAAATCCACTATAACTATGGAAAATCACCATGCTATTGATGGTTAAATCAACTATCAATGGCAAATGTTCAAGTTCGCAAACTGTTTTGTATAATCGCAGTGGGTATGCTATTCATTGCTTTCCCATGGCTTTCCCATGGCTTTCCCATGGCTTTCCCATGGCTTTCCCGTGAAAACGGCCACTTTTTGCCACTTCACTGGGCTCCTGGCTACAACCGAACCGCCAGGTAACAAATGACGGCTGGCGCCTGAGATGAGGGATTTCACCAGAATGTGGAATGTAACAAACAATAAGTGCGATATATATATATATATACATATATATATATACATATGTATATGTGTAGATAATATGTATATGTATATGTATATGTATATGTATATGTATATATATATATGTATATGTATATGTAAATATATATATATATATGTACGTATGTTTATGTATATAGGTATATAACCAGTAGATCAAGGGGAAACTGTCAATGATGTGGGATTGACCTGCAGTAAAGCTTTAAAAAAAGGATAGAATCTGGCTTTGGGGATCTCATCAGATGGGTTCCTACCCAGAGACATCTCATGTTTGTTGCTTCTACTGGAAAAAATGATGTTGTTGATGGTTGATGGTGGTTAATAATAGTGATGTTTTTATCCATGAATAGTTATGAATATCACCAATGAATAGTTCTGAATATCACCAATGAATAGTTCTGAATATCACCAATGAATAGTTATGAATATCACCATGGTTTTTATCCATGAATATCCCACTTCTGAATAGTTGATAGATTAATGTGGGATTCACCGCCACCAGTCCTACAGTCTGACTGATGCCTGGAATCCAACGAAAATACCAAGTCGCTGAGGGGATGGTGCCCCAATGGCCTGTGTCAGTCATGTCCAACTCTTCGCCAGTCACATCTTTTGAGATTTTCATGTACCCCTTCAAAAAATGCTCGATTCATGAGTTGAAGTGATTTTAAGATAGTTTCAGATATTTTAGTATGGTTGAGGCAATTTTCCACTGGTGTGTATTAAAAGCTCACTTACCTGGGCTGAGCATACTGGGCTGAAAATCCGTGATTTCTGAGGATTGGGACGTATACGTACCAGGTGGTAGTGAGTTCATTATGTTAAGATTATTTCAAGGAGTTCCTCTATCTTCCATTCTTATCCATCCTTATCCATGGCCTTGTCAGAGGCTGCCATGACAATGTCGGACATAAAGTCAGAAGCTCAATGCCCCGAAGCTGCTTGGCGTAGGTCATCCAGAGAAAAACGTGAAAAATTGGGTATTTAACCCATGGCAGATGGGTATTTAACCCATGAAATGGACATTTTTCTCAGCATGTGCTTGGAAAGTAGGTAGGTATGCTAAAGCCCACCCCCATTTAACGATGGATTTCTTCATTCTCGTCTTTAATCATTCATCAAATCAACACTTCAATCATTATCAATCTGATGATTTCCCACGTTTTTTCACTTTGTGGTTCACGCATCAAGAGAAATGATCAAAATGGTTTGCTTTCCTGTTCTACAGATGTTTTGTATTTTGCTTCTATGTGTTACCACATATGTGTGTATATATAATATACATACACCCAATATATGACTCCGGCGGGTCAAGTTAGCTGGTAGCCTTTAGAATAGCTGGTGCGTTGATGGTTGATTCATCCCCATAAGGGACATAAAGGGTGTATACATTGGGTAAATAATGGGGAAATACTGGGATATTCATGAGTCCCTTATGACATGGAATATTTTTGGATATTTTTGGGATATTCATAAGGGACATAAAGGGTATATAATATACTGGGATAAGCAACTGAATCTCATAGTTCCCAGGGATCAAGAAATTCCCCAGTGAACTGGCGGAAAATGATGGCTCTCTGCAGATCCCTGGGAGATCAGAGAAACCAATCCCTTCCCCCTACCCGGCCTGGTAAACATACGAAAAACTGATGGGAAAATAACAATCTTTAATAGGTAAATCAACTATTTCTATGGCCATTTTCAATAGCTATTTGTAACAAATTACCAGAGGGTAATATATTCCACATTCCCAGAAACAATGGTGGAAGTAGGGGATGAAACTACATATGGATACATATGGATTAATACTATTTTTAGGGGGATGAACATCCATAAGTCCCAGCTATTTTGATGTTCACTAGGTGCCAGGATTTTGACCCATCCCCATATGGACCATTAAGCATGGTGTTTAATATGAACGGTAGATGGGACTATCGTTGTACCATTGGAGGGTCCACCTTCGTGCTGCAGGTCTGACATGACAATGGACTTGGCGATGTGTTGCGCATGGGCGCGGAAGCCTGGCATGGCACGGTGATGGAGGAACGTCTTTTGAAGATATGTAGCTATTTACTGAATTACTGACTTACAATGGCTTGTATATATATATATATATAATCTTATACAATACACATTCTGATATATGGATACATCATATCACCTTTTTGCATTTTCCGGTTTTATGATTATACATACAGTATATGGATATTTCATGATATAGCCTGTATTTATGAATGAATTTCTTGTTGCCAGTATTTGCCCGCCTATTTGTTGAGTCTTCCCGGATTGTTTCTACTGCTATGCGATTCAGAGGCCCGACCTCTTTCTGGGCTGCAGGAAGTCTTGGGATCCATAGTTACCTCTATTGGTTGAGCCGCTTCCCCCCGAGGATGATCGATGTTGTTCGAGAGAATCGATGTTCGAGATGAGAATAGATTGAATAGATGAATCCATGCTGATTTACTTTTGTGTTGACTTTGTTTCAGGTGTGAAAATATTGTTTATCAGCGAATAAACATGGGATGTGTAGGGTGTAGGATGATTAGGAAACGCGTCAATAAGGTCTTTGTTACTCTTAGGATGATGAGGAAAGTCATGGATTTACCATTGCAGATCCTATAAATCATGAATCACTAAACATGGATAAACCATAGTTCATAGTTCATGTCTATTGTAGATATTAGATCTATTCTCAGCCATGTCTCCAATGTTTTTCACTTTCTTCCAACACTGGGATACGTATTCAATGTATATACATGTATATATATATACCCTCTGGTAAACTAACATAGCTATGGAAAATCACCATTTTTAATGGGTAAATCCACTATAAATGGCCATTTTCAATAGCTATGTTAAATTACCAGAGGGTATATCCCATAGATTTTCCATATATATATATATATCCCATAGATTTTCCATATTTTTCCCATGGATATCCCATATATATATATCCGAGGCTATCGTGTGGTTGTTGGGCCACTGGTTGGCACACGTTCCTGCCATGGCCATTCAACGTTCGGGGGCCGAGATGGCCGCGAGATGGAGTGGACCTCACCATACCGAAGTGTTGCAAAAAAGCAAGAAACATGAAGAAACTATGTATACATGGAAAATATACTGCAGATAATATATATAATAGAATATAATAGAATAGAATATAATATAGTATAATATAATGTGATTGTATATATATATATTATACACATTGTGAGATATTATATATATACTATGCACATATGTAAAGTATATTGTGCATATTGTGTGTAGTATTCATTTCTATGTATTTATGGGAAATTCATCCAGAGCTCAGACAGATCCATGTTCTTTTTTATGGAGCAGGATTTCCACCAGATGAAACTCTATAGATAATTCTAATCCCGCTTTTCCAGCCATTTTGAGATGTATTAGTTTGCTTTATGAATATGGGAATGCACATATAGAACTTAGAACTAGCCTCTGGTTATGACTAACAGTTTGCGAACTGGAAGCCATGGCCCATAGAAATTTAACAGTGTCCTATTTCACATCCCTCTGGGTATGACTAACAGTTCGCCATGGTATAGATGGCCCATAGAAATAGATGGTTTACCTATTAATAGCATGGTGGATCTTTCCATAGCTACGTTAAATAACCACTGGGTACCATCAAATTTGATGTGAAAACCTTGCTGTATCGTTTGGCTGTTTTCTCAGCAGACATGACTGGTATCTTGGAGGAAAGAACCCAATTTATGGCCGAAAAAAATGGCCCAAGTGTTTCAAATGATGATTACTTAGTGGTTATTCGAAAATGTCAGATTATATTCGGTGATTGAATGGTCCATAATTCTATACCCGGCCTGGTAAACAGTCCCAAAAACGGATGGAAAAACATCGCCATGCTATTAATGGCTGGGTAGATATCCACTACAGTATTTCGACTGGGCCATGGCTTCAATAGCTAACTGTTAGTCATGTTTACCAGGCCGGGTAAATCCCATCATATATCCCAATGAAAAATCCCATGAAATCCCATGAAAATCTATGGATTTTCCCCTATGGATAGTTGATGAAATCCATTGGATTTCTGGGAGAATGGAACATCCCGGATCCCAGTTGGAAGCACCTTGGCTCGACAGCCAGGCTTTGTGAAAGATCAGGTGGGATCCCGTGCTGCGAGTTGCGAAGCGTTGCTGGGGTTTTATCGGCAGAATGACTCATGACCGTCGACATTTTTTCACCAGCAGCAGCTGGAAAATCATGGGAAGTTCGATGATTCTCCAGCTGGTTTTTCAAATAAAATCTTGGATGTTCCAGTGACATGTCTTTATTTTACCAGATATTGATGAGTTTTTTCGGGATGAGATCCTTCATGGAGGGCTGGTGGTGCCTAAAGCGGGCGGTGCTTTGCCCAGTGACTTTCATCGATTCAAAGCTGTCCTTGATGAAGTGGCTTTGTAAACATACAAAAAACTATGGAAAATGGGTTGATGATTATGGTGGCTGTCTTTACCGGAGGTGGCTGCTGTTCATTATGGTTCACTACCCTCTGGTAAACATTACATACAAAAAAACTATGGAAAATCACCATGCTATTGATGGGTGAATCAACTATAAATGGCAGTTTTCAATAGCTATGTTTGTTTACCAGAAGGGTAATTTAATGTTGAACATTATGATATAGTATGATGAAATATAGTCATTCTATATCATTCTATCCCCACATTTCAATACATTTCATGCATTTCATGTTCAATTTTCATATAGTTGGTGGTTTGGAACATTTTTTATAGATGTTTCCACAAATAGGGAATGTCATCATCCCAACTGACTTTCCTAAAATTTTTCAGAGGGGTAGGTCAACCACCAACCAGTCATGTTTTGCAGGCGAGGATTCCGCGTCAATGTGGCGCCAGGGTTCCCTGAGAGTGTGGTTTTCGTGAATTTCTCCGACACGAAAAATTCGTGTTTGAAGGGAAAAACACTGATTGTTCCATATGGGAAATACATGGAAATAGCATTTTTACAGGAGAAAATACAGCTACCATAATATTTATATAGAAACATTCAAACTATTCTATGGGAAATAGCATGGAATATATTTACATGAAAAATAAAAATATAGAGCTATAGTTGGTTATATTTGTTGGTAGGGGTATCCATATTCCCTACTAGCCATGGGGAGCCAGTTGGAACTTACAATTTGAGTTTCCGAAGCATATGATAAAAGTATCATGAAAAATGGTCATTCGATGGAATATGAAAATGGAAATATTATGGAATAATATTACCAAAGTTATGGCTTATGATATTAATAGGTAGTAAGAGTAATTACATGCAATGAATATGTGCTAGCTATTTTGGTAGCATGATAAATGTGTATAGCTACACAAACAAATCATGCTTAATCATGGTTCATTTTGTTTATGGGCTGTGATAGGTATGATAATAATAATGCGAACAGTAACTATATCATATTGTTTCGAAATTTCATAATATCATTTTGTTTATGGGCTGTATGATATGTTGTGATATGGAACTTTCATCATGTTTTGACCGTTCTGATCGTTGTGATGCGTTTGGCGTTGGAAGATGAATTTCTGCAGATTCCCACTGTTTCTGCAGATGAGTCCCGACTTTTGAAGGGTTACAGTAATGATGAAAACAATTATTATAGTAAATAGATGGTAGTTTACGAATAGATAGTAGTAATTCGAATTGTTGAATCCTCATTTGTGATGAAATGGCGTTGATAGGGTTCCAATGTTTTGCTGTTAGTGATCCCAAAGTTTTGGACAAAAAAAACAATTCTCTTGGAACAAAAAGTATCTAAAATCATTGGTTAGATAAATACATCCCCGGTGTGTTTTTCACTGTGAAACTCCACATGTTTGGTCTCTAATATTCGTCAGTTTCATTGGTTAACATCTCAGATTTTTTCGTTGGATTGAGGCGTATCTTCGAAGGCTGTGCCGAGGGCAAGTCTTTTGCTTGATGGCCTTAGTGAGGAAACTCAGCGAAAAAGATGGGCTAAAACCATGTGTTGTCTCTGAAAACCGAGAGTTCTGTTACGAAAAGATGCGTGATATATGGTGATATTGGGATGATCCAGTTACAATAGAGCTATGGTAACCATCCCAATATCATCCCACTTACTAATCTATATATGTATGTGAAAAAATATTAGTAAATGGGACAATATTCATCTATATACGTACTAATCTTCATCAGTATATACCATCTGGTTATTTAACATAGCCATGGAAAGATCCACCATGCTATTAATAGGTAAACCATCTATTTCCATGGGCCATCTATACCATGGCGAACTGTTAGTCATACCCAGAGGGTACATATTGTGGTCAAGCCAATTTTTAAGTTTTTTCCATCCCATGAACCATGACAACCCAACTGAAACCCATCAGCCCATGAGGCCGGGGCTGCAAAACTCATGCTTCATTGGAAAAGTCCAGAGGAGCTTCGAAAAGTGTGGATTTTGCTGGGAAACTTCGAAAAAGAGTGGTTGATTGATGTAGAAATTGGCTATACATCCATGGTTTTTAACACAGAACATCACAGAAGCCTTGTTTCGAAAATCATCTTGGGCACTTGGGCACCTCCAGTACTTCAACACTGAAAAGTCCCCAAGTGGGAAAATCATGTAAGTCGTTTAAATTGTACATGAGGTAGTTTCTTGTAAGCCGATATAATAAATTTGGGCACGCGGTTGGAACAAAAATGGTTTGGCACAACGTAGCCAGGAAAATGGTTTCGAATCCAAAGATTGGTCTCACCAGCCAGGCATTGCTTCGCAAATATCAGATTTCATCAGAATTTGGGTGGAAACATCTCCCATTTTCACTGGTAATCCCTTGAAACGGTCGGAATTGATATACCGGTAAACAAACCTGGCAATTGAGAATCCACATATAAACGACAGTCGATAAAAAGTCCTCTGGTAATCAAACATAGCAACTGACATCTGAATGTTAATGTTTTTTTTTCCTGTAAATGGCGGATTTTCCATTTCCACGTTTTATTGGCGGCTGTAAATCAGACATTTCCCACCACGCCAGCTTAGATTACCATTTGGGGAGTGTCCCCAGTATTTTCTCCTGCAGGTCCCCCAATTCTTATTGGATCATTCTCGCAACCCAAAAAAAAAAGGTCAGAAATCTCTTAAAAACTTTTCTGTTTTTGTTGGTGTTTTTTTTTACATCCCCATATCGAAAAAAACCCGAATGTGTTGGTTGCGAATTCACACATGGCGAAACATGTTGGATTGGGGTTTACTGTCGGATTCACTCATGTGGATCAATGCAAACACTACATCTATCATCTTATTTCTCTATAGATAGTGAGAATTATCCCCCCAAAAAAATAAGAATGATAGCCAATATCAATAGTGATTACTACCGTAATCAATGTTCTATGAATTATTAGTTATCACTTATAGTTATCAATCACCGTCTATTTGATAACCAACTATCTATTTAGTTTTCATCACTATTAACTATCTATTAACTACTAAAATGAAGTTATCATTGATGTTCGGTAATCTATCATTATATTACTATTAACTATCTATCAACTACTATTAACTACTATTAGCTATCATTATTACCAAAGTACCATTATTGTTAATGAATATGACTACTATTAACTACTATTAACTACTATTAACTATTATTAACTACTATTAACTACTATTAACTACTATTAACTACTATTAACTACTATTAACTACTATTAACTACTATTAACTACTATTAACTACTATTAACTACTATTAACTACTATTAACTACTATTAACTACTATTAACTACTGGCTACTCATGGGCTATCCCCAAAGTTCTTCCTTCTATATTCGAAGCCCATCGCCAGGATTTAATCTTCAGCTTCACCTGGGAACACCAGGCCAGATTTGGGTCTCGCCCGGCTAGCGCCCAGTTGGGCTCACCAGAAATGTGGCTGTACATATCAAAAAAGTATGAGTTTCCTAAAAGAATATGTGGGTTCGACCCCATCTTTGATATGTATATATATACATATACATGTATATTGTATATATATGCACGTACAGAAAGATTGTTGGTTAAACCCTCATCATACCACCAACCAGTTGCTATCCCATTGCTTCAGATGCTCTTCAGCATGGCCGCGGGCCATTGGATCGTGAGTTTCTGGGAGGACAAGCCTGGCCCACCTGGCGATGTGGGAAACGTTGGTCGGAAAAACCTGGCAGAAAAAATTGAAAAAATGGGGAAAAATTCTCCAAAAATTTGGGTGAACAATGTTAAAATGTCGGATGTTTGGTCGGAAAATTGCAGAATTTGTCAGAAATCCAACCAGAATCCAGCCAGAATCGCCAGAAATTTGTCTAGAATTCCAACTTCATCCTCCAAATGCAGATTCAAACAGTCGAAAAATGACTCATCAGCCAAGAATCAGCAGTTAAACTCATCAACAGATCCGAGTTGTTGTTTTTCTGGCCCAATGTTGAAGCTGCAGGACCTGCAGTGTCGAAGCTTTCTGGCTGGGGGTTTGGATAACAAGGTTAGGGGCCAGGTGGAGTCCTGTTGGGCTGGTGGAACTTTGAGATATGGTTGGTTGAAGTAAATGGTTGGTAAACAGATTTTGTCGCGCGAGAATTTCAAAACATTCTTATATAGAATTGATGGGATTGCGATTTTGGTAGAGTTCAACCCTTTGTTTTTTTGGAGGCGAAAAGCATGTGAATCCAGTTCGGCCATATAGATTTTCGTGGAATTGCCAACTGGTTGTTGGCTGAGGATCACTACCATGAGATGGCGACGCCATTTTGGATGTCATTTGTTTTTTTTTACATCCTCCCCCTGGTCCCCCTCCCCTTCGACCCTTCTTAGATGCTGTACCTGCGCCACCCCTCGATGCTTCTTAGATGCCCCTTTCATCGTCAGCATCTGCATCACCATCGGCTGGTTTTGGGGCAGGTACAGGTTTCTACGTCTTTATCTGCACCTTCTTCATTTTCATCTTCCTCTCGAGCATTGTCATCATTGTTGTCGCCGTCGTCGTCGTCGTTGTCGTCGTCATCATCGTCGTCAGCATCAGCATCAGCATCATCATCATCATCATCAACTTTATCATCAAATTCATTCCTACCCACCATCATTGTCATCAGTTCATCAGTTTACTCTTGCAGCTGCGCAGTCTCCAGTACAAGATTAGTAGAGTCCTGCTAGCTTTCGTACCTCCCCCTGGCCTCAAGTCAATCATTTACAGACGCAGATACAGTATAAACAAGTACTTTGGCAGGTCGCCTAAAAATTGGATCATATACGCAATTGCTTATATTTGGGGATCGGTCAACACCACCAAAGGACTGCCGAAAAACGAACCCAAAACGGAGGACCTGCGAAGAAAAGAATGCCATAATTTGTTATGGTGTTCTGAACATATATCCCGTTCTGTAGGCCTTGCATAGATGTTTCTGAGTTGCATACTGTCTAAACTCGACTGGATGATTGATACATATAAAATCATAAAAAAATACCATAAGAATCACCACAATCTCTGGTTTTTTGGGGGGTCACCTTGAATCTTCGCCATGCAATCCAACTGGTCTTTCCTCTTATCAAACCGATGCCATTCCAGGCACTTCCAGGGGTGCGAGATCCTGCACAGCTCTTGCTGAAGGGCTATCTGTTGCACCATGCGGCAGCAGCTGTGGGCTATCTGGCACTGTTGCATTGCCAGCGTCCGGGGGCCCCGGGGGCCCGTCCGCCCCGCGTCGGGCCTGAGGGCATGGGATGCCGTGGGAAAAACTACCCATGATTTGCGGATAAAATGAGGATATTTTATGGGATATAAATGGGATATGATGTTATGGAATTATCCACTATAGTTATGGATTATCCATTGATTATCCTATCCACTAAGTGGATCATATGAGTTATCATGGGCCATTGATTGGATAATGGGATAATGCATAATTATCTGGTTGGAAAAAAATACTGACCTCACATCGGTTTCGGTGGAATCGTGGGAATGGGGGAATCATCCCCATATATCTGGGTGAATTATAACGACCTCACTGCGACCGAGCCCTGGAATCATGGTTTATGGTAGGGGAATCATCCCCAAATGGCCCAACAATTCAGGTTAGTGAAATATTATAATTTACCCAGATAGATGGTTTTATCTCAGCTATTTTCAGGTTCATGAGTTGTATTATTATTACTGGTTGGTGGTTTGGAGCATGAATTTTTTGACTTTCCATTCAGTTGGGAATGGAATGTCATCATCCCAACTGACGAAGTCCATCATTTTTCAGAGGGGTAGGTGGCTCAACCACGAACCAGATTATTATTGTTCAGTGAGATAATGGGATAATATTATAGTCATATATGATTTTATGATATGTAATGACTAAGTGACTATAAAATACTATAAATCATATATTTATGGGATGTTACAGCCAGATTTTTTTTAAATCGTATTATGACTATAAATCATGGCAGATAATTCCTCCAGATGGCCTGGAGGCCTGGAGGATGGGAGATGTGGCACCAATGTGGCGAATCATCGGCTTGGAAAACGGCAGATACCCTCTGGGAATTTAACATAACTATGGAAAATCACCATTTTTAATAGGTAAACCATCTATAAATGGGCCATTTTCCATAGCTATGTTAGTTTACCAGAGGGTACACCAACAAAAATGCTACGGTTTTTTGATGATTTAACCGACATCAAGCATGATATAAACAATGAAATAGTGATATTACTTCTAGCCGCTAATGTCATTCGATTAGTTCAAAAAAATGTTCACCATTTCCTGAAAAATCAAGGTTCACCATTCCCCCTTTTAAAATATCAAATAGATAAGTTTCAATAGCTAATCAAAACACCCATCGAAAACCGCCTTGTGAAAACCGGCGGCGTTTGCGGCGCCCAGGCATTTCCGCAGTGGGTAGCTTGGGTTTGCTCTTCGAACTGCCCGTGGACCGACAGGATTTGCAGCTGGATTTCACCGGAAGCAGCTGCTGAATACATCTCGAATGATTGAATTTTTCACCATAGTCAGTGTGATATATTTTTATATATACATAATTATACATATTTGGTTTCCATCCATAAAAATGGAATATATCTAGTTTCATGGGATATAGTTCCCCATTTTTATAGCGGTCTTTTATATACATATACCAGTTTCATCTAGTTTCCATCCATAAAAACGGGATCATAATCCCCCAACGGCATGAGAAATTCATTGTTCCGATGTTGTAAGGTGAGGCCGCTGACATCGCGACCCGTTGACCAAAACACTTCGGTCTTTAAGGTGTTGGTTGATTAGGGGGATATATGGGGATATTTTTAACTGCCATGGGGGATATGTTTATGTAACCATGGGGATATCTTTACTGGTACATATCACTTGTTTATTAATGGGGGATATCTTTAACATTTACATGGTACAACTATCGTTAATGGGTTGATGAACCTGGCCATTCACATCACTTGGGCCTCACCTTTTGTGAAACCCATCCCATTTGTCCGGATAACGGTGCTCGTTCAACGGAACTTTTGACCCCAAAAAAATCATGCTGTTGGTTACCCTCTGGTAAACGTTTACATAACTATGGAACATCACCATGCTGTTCATAGGTAAATCATCTATTTCGATTAGGTCCATGGCTTCCAGTTCGCAAACTGTGAATGATTACCGGAGGGTAGATGGTGTGATATCCCCATGAAAATTCTTCGTGTTACCCTCTAGTAAATTAACATTTGGACCCTGAAAATCACCCCAATTTTTAATGGTTTCACTAGTCTTCCAACCCCGACAACTGCCAGGGTCGAACTGTTAATGATCCCAGGATCCCATGATAAAAATCCATCGGCTGAGGTGCTGCTGTTGAACCGCCGGGAGCTTTTGCGCTTGCTGTGGCAACGCAGGCGAGTGAAATTGGTGAAACACCGGAGAGGTTAACTTCTGGTTCCAATATGTTCCAATGGGATATTCATGGGATTTTTAGGGTGATATGAATATTACGGGAACAACTTCACATGACAGAAACATCCCACTCCCAAGCCAAAACGTGTTAAAACTCTTTTTTTGCATGTTTAATCTCAAATGTTTATTGGTGAAACAAACTCAAAGAGCCAGAAACGTCTGTTCCCGTCATGTGTCAGATGGGCGGAACGTTCAGCCATCAGAGATCATTGGTGCGAGACCCCGGGAAAGCAGGGGCGGTTTGGCATTCCCTGAGGCCGAGAAAAAATGGTATTTAACAATGAATAAGCCTTATTGAATAAGCACCATTCATTATGGCCATTAATAATGGTCAATCATGGTTATATAATAATGGTTATAGTTATATAATAATGATATAATGGTCAATAATGAATGGTTAATTCCTGGTTAATAATGGTTAATAGTTGCTGATAATGAGAAATTAATAATCACCATTATATAATTATCATATATTATAATGATCAACCATTATTGACCCAACTGGCTAGCTGGAAAAAAACCCTATAAATGAAGGTGTTTTTATGAACAAAAACCGGCCATATGGATTGATGCTTGGAAGCCTGGGAATCATGGTTTATGTTAGGGAAATCATCCCCAAATGGTTTTAATACTGTATGTTTTAATTCAGGTTAGTGAAATATGATGATAAACCATTACCTACAGTATTTCAAAGTTAGTTACCTAGACTATTGTTTTACGAACATTACTTTGAAATGCTGATGTGCCTGGAATGGAAGAAAGTGACTTGGAAGGCAATCCACTGTACTTGAAAACATAGTATGAAATCATCAACTGGTTGGTGGTTTGGAACATGACTTTTATTTTCCCCAATACTTGGGATGATGATCCAATCTGACTTTCATATTTTTCAGGGGGGTAGGAAAAACACCAACCAGTCTTAAGTTTGTTGGGATTCTGGTACTGTCATTGATCTTGACAATCGATAAATGCCATTGGATATCGATACCATTTTTCACGAGATCTACGGGGGCACCTTGAAGATCCAATGAAGATCATTGAAGACCTTGGATCAAGAAGACCGTTTCTGAAACTTTAAAAAAAACCTTTCCCACCAGCAACTGTGGTGAATTCTGTGGTGATTTTTTTTCACCATCATGAAAACCAACAACTGGATGAGTTTGGGATCCCCGGTGACCCTGCGGTGACCGGAAACGTCTTCGATGGCGCCTCCCGAGGCGTTTCGTCTACATCTTCTTCCTGACCTCCCGTGGTGGGGCCTTTGCCTTGTACGTGCGGATGCTTGGTGAATCATGGTGATTTTGGTGATATCCCCATGGCTAGCCATATTTTAATAGTAGGAAATTGTAAAAGCCATTGGAATATCATGGTTTACTATTCTGGGTAACCACCATATTTTAATATTATTGGAATAATCTGGGTGATCACCCAAATTTGGGTGATCCAGAAAAATTTTGGTGGATTATCCATCATTAATCTGGGTGATAATCCATTGGAACCATTTTAATATGGAAAATGATGACAAACCATTGGAATTTGGGGGTGCACGATTTTTGGATCCTGATTTTCACTGTGATGAACTTTTGCAGGGGCAACCAAAGAGGATTTACCTGGTTTTTCGAAAGGTCCTTGGTTGGTCCTTGGTTGATAAATGATGGTTGATGAACAGCATCAAAATACTGGTTGGTGGTTTGATATATTTATCCATATTTATCCAATGATATTGATATTTATAACCAACCATCATTGATATTGGTTTTTATAAATGGTTGGTTTATGACTTTCCATTCAGTTGGGATTATGATCATCCCAGAGGGGTAGGTAGGTATACCACCAACCAGATACAGATTGGCTGATCCGTTAGAAGATCACTTCGAGTTCGTTGATCAGCAAAAAAAGGGGGGTCAATTCTGGATTTTTTGGGATTCTATGTGCTGAGCTGTGGAATTTCAGGACCAGCAGATTATTCCTATGATTGCCTCAAAATTCCAAGCAAGCTGAAACAACCAGCTCACTACTGGCGAAAAGAACCAAATAGCAGCAAGGTTGAATTTGTTGTGAATGCGAAATGAAAGTCAGCCACCCAAATATGAGAATTCACCGCCATTATTGTGGTTATCATAATCCCACAGTAGAGGTCAAATCATGCGCAGAAAATTATGTTAGGCCATGATGTGGGCCCCCATTTTCAGACGAACTCCTATAGATTTGCTTGATCATTAGAACAAGACAGCAATCAACTCAGGATTTTCTGACTTTTCCAGTTCGATTATTTGATTGCCAAAGCCTAATGGAACCGTAGTCCAAATACAGTATATATATAATTATATAATGATGTTTGGGATTTAACTTAAAGTCATAGTCCAATAACGATCATAGTCCAAATAATAACGATTCCAATTTAACTTCAATAACTTTAATATATAGCAATATCATAGTATCATTAACGATCCAATTATTGTACTATAGTTAATCATTGGATTATTCCAAATAATAATAGCACACTATTTATAGATGTGTTTCCCTTCAAAAAAACTGATAGTCATTGTTTTTTCCCACCAAATCCATTATACAATATGTCCCTTAGTATGTCCATTCATCTTCCATTAGAAAAAAAAACACAATGTTCTATACATATCGCAACTTAAAACATGTTTTAATGCCTGTCAGGGTAACAAAGTCTCTATGACTATATGTTCCCCCATCTTTATCCAATATATTATCATCATCTATCATTATATAATACATTATATATATATGTGATATCTATCATACATTGTCATTATATATCATAGGTTAGGTCTTTCAAGGCCTATGCACTGGCGTGGTGGCAGCAACAGTTGGCCACTTTGGACACCATGGAGACGTCTGGCGTCACAGTTGGCGGACCATCTCCAGGGATTTTTGTTGGGAAAGTCCTCCATAGATTGAGGTTTGATAAGGTAAGATCCACAGAAAAATGTGGTAAAATCCTCCATTTTTTGGAAAAATCCTCGGAAAATCCTCCATAGAAATGTGGTAGAAATGTGGTCTTGTGCATTGCTATGATTACTGGCAAAATGAGTTGAACACATGGTTAGCCATGATTAGCTGTTAGATTAGACAGATTAGACAAAGTAAAGAACATTTAGGGAAAAAAAATAGTTCTCAAGATATTTCTCATTCCACAAGTCTGGGATCTTTACAAACATGCCATGGTTTTTTTGTCGCAGAACTCCTCCCCAGGTGCCTCCTCCATTCCATGGCCATTGTCTTCGCGTTGCTGTTCCAGCCCCAGCGAAACGTCATGCGAAACGCCATGCCGCCATAGTATGTATATGTAAATCACATATTGTTGGTGAAGTTCAAGATTCCCATCATACCCATAATATATCGTAAAATCCCATGAAATCACCATTATTCCCATGAATTGTTCTATCATTCTTCAGGGTTAAGTCACCATTTGAGATGATTTATGTCCCATTGCATCCGTTTTTAATGGGCAAATCAATGTAAATCACCATAAATTCCGATACTTCCCATGATATCCATAGTAAATCACCATGAATTCCGGTACTTCCCATGACATCCATATGTTTTCACCACATATGTCACGATCTCCTCAGGAACTATGCGTATCTCAGCATTTTGGATGCTTGGAGTCGGCAGGATGCTGCTGCAGCAGTCTTGCCCGAGCTTGAGGAGGAGCTGAAATCTGCGCCGTGAGAATGACATGAATGGCCATAGGTGACATATTATAAATGGCTGGTTGGTGGTTAATAGTGATGTTTAATAGTGGTTAATAGGCTATAAACCAACAACAATGGGAATATTATGGTGATCTGATGATCGATCTGAGTAAATTTGATCACGACCTCACTGTTCTCCCGAGCCCTGGAATCATGGTTTATGGTAGGAAAATCATCCCCAAATGGCCGCAAGATTCAGGTTAGTGAAATATTATAATTTGCCCAGATATTATAAATGGAATGTTAATCTACCATGTGAATAATAATGAAAAATCATAATCGGCATTAATAGATACAAATTATAAATGAATGATAGCAGTTATGATATAAGACATAAGTAGATAATTGATATAGTTGGATGGGAATTAATGGAATATCAATGGAATATTAACAAAAAATGACATTCCCTGATGATAATAATGAGAAGATGTTGAGATATGCGAAAAAAGAAAAAATGTATTATATCCGCAAGGCGGGGGGTGTTGTCAGACGGGATGGCGCTGGGTGCTACGCTGACGTCTTTTGTTGATGCTACGGTCACAGGGAACTGGATCCCAGATCCAAGCATCCAACAACTTGCAGATCATCCATTTAACTATTTGAGTATCTAATATATAATGGATATTATATATATGTATATATATGTGTGTATGTGTGTATGTATGTATGTATGTATGTATGTATGCATGCATGCATGCATGCATGCATATAGGTTCCCAACTGATCTAAATCTTGAGTCATGGTACATGCCCGTGACACTTAATCTCAAGTCTTCTTTCTTTGGGGTAGCTTCCTTGATGCATGTGCGGATTGCGTTTGTGGCTGGGTTTCTGACCCACTATCTATCCCAGAGAGAGAGAGAGCGCTTGCCCTTGGAGACCATTGCCGTGGAAACTGCAGCTCTCCGGGCCGAGATCAAGACTGCTCGTGAATCAGTGCAAGAGCTGCAACTAGGCCAAGATAGCTGCGCGTGGCGATTGTGGGTTCAACAGTGGTTGCTTCGTCTGAGTTTGGTTTTTGACATCTTGTTGGTGGTTTGGATTATCTGGAAATATCGAATTTACCCGGCACTCCGATCACCAGATTCTGTGGGGATCGTAGACATTTGTTCTGAACAGAGGGTCTTCCGGAAAGGGATCAGGGGTGAGAGGCCGACCTTCGAGACCTTCGGATTTCAAGGGAGGCAAATAGGAATTTTCCACAGGACACAGATGGGTTCTATTGGCACCATCGCCTCTTGCTACATCGTGTGGCTGGGGGGGTGTGGCTTTGTCTGAGCCCGGACCATGAGATTGTCAGAGATGATCTTGGTGCAATTCTTCATAGGAACATAGAGAGACGCAGTCCTTTTCCTGCTGACATCGCGGATGAGATCTATGCCCACGACCCAATAGGTAAGTCCACATTGTCTGCCTTCAAACGTCAAGCCAAAGTTCAAGCTGCTATCCTGGGTGACGGAGACATTGATGACTCCGAGGCCTATGAATGGGTTATCAGTGAGCCTCAGCATCCAAAGTTTGGGGTAGGAGTTGATGTTGGTTTGATCAACAATGGTGCAACTGGACTGGCTTTTTCGACCAAAAGGGTCATCATTAATCAAAAAGAAGAGATCTATGTGGAGCGGGTGTTGGTGAATGACCTGGAAGATTGGAGGAAAAGGAAGGCCCTTGAGGGCGGTGATGATGGGCTCTTAGGTGAGCACAGGGATGCAAGCGGCAAGAGACGGCTGGACTTGGAAAGCGCGGTTGAGCTCATGTTTCCCATCGCTGGTGTCAGAGCAGCGCGTGAATATCACGAAACTGTAGCCGGTGGTCCGGGCAATTTCCTGAGCTACCACGCTGAATGGCTCCGTCAGTCTGGTGTTGCAAAGCGTGCCAGTGCAGCTCACATCCGATCCTTGTGTGAGGCCTTGCGACTTCTTCATACACATGATCAAATCGACGCCAGCACCACAGCTGTCGGTGAATTCCTTTCTAGGTGGGCGGTGCAGACAGAACTTGCCGTTGAGAGAAATCCCGCTCAGCCTGATTATAGTGGGCTCGACGTAGTCAGTGGGGCAGCGATCCAATCAGATGGAAGAGCCTCGACGGCGAAGTTCACAGAATGGGTCACCTCCCGTTTGAAAGTACGGGCTCAGGTGTGGAAGCAGGAGCGCCTCTACAGTCAAGAGAGACGGAATCTTCGCGGCAAAGGGTCAGGGGGCAAAGGAGGAGGTGATGACTCCGACGATGATGAGGCCGGAAAGAAGAAAAAGAAGAAGAAATCCAAGGGGGGTGGCAAGGGCGACCCCCCGGTGGCGACATGAGTTCCGGTCCTGGAGGTGGGTCTGCCGGGATGAATTCCTCCACCTCTGACAAGGCAGATTGTGCATGTTCTTTTCCAGAATTTGATTTGAGATGGCAGTCGGTCCACCGACGGCGCGGTGATCCTTTCCCTTTGCGGAGATTAGGTCGACCTGATGCTGCTTCTATGCTGACACGGCAGGTAAACTCTGCGTTTGGAGCGTTGAATCAACTTGCTGCAGCTGTTTTTGATAGGGCCAACACAGAGAAGCTCGATCTGACAGCCGTACAGACCTGGATGATGCGAGATCTTCAACGAAAGGTCAAAGCGTATGGAGCATGTCCAGCTGACCTCAATGAAGTCAGGGCGATGTCCGACCTGACTAGCAATGCCAACCTGTACAATCAGGAGGCCTTGAATGTTGCCGACTATGACATTAATGAGATCAAGATCTTGCAGCGAAAGCTGACTCCCTTTGAGGCCAAGGATTTGGCACCCCCTGAGGCCTGTGCATTCCTGAACCACTTGACTTGCTGGTAGAACGACCTAATCATGAGCTGGAGGGGTTACGTAATAATGGGGACATAGTAAAGCCACATTGGGACGAAAAGTTAAGGGCATCTAGGAAACTCCGTTTAGAGCTCTATCAACGATTGCATCAATGTGGACTGTTGACCTTCAGACGCAGACAGAAGGCCAAGGTCGGGATGTTCACGGTGAAGAAGAAGGGCAACAGACCAGGTAACACCCAACGCCTCATAGTGGACTGTCGTCAGGCGAACTACTTGCAGCGACGACCTGCCACTACACGACTGGCGACACCAGCAGGCTTAGCGGCTTTGGATTTTGATTGGGAGACTCTTTCAGCTGCAGGGTTTAGTGGAATTCGAGGTGAACCCAATTTTGCAAACCCCGGGTTGGAGACTGGAGATGCAGGTGACTGTTTTTGCAACTTTGTCATCAAAGAAGCATGTTCTTGGTTCAGCACTGGTGACACCCTGAGCACGTCCGAGATGAAACAACTAGGGATCTTCCAAGACACCATCTATGACGATGATGCTGGAGTTGAGACACCGGTTGTAGAGGGTGAGACTCTTTTTGTCTGCTTCGGCGGCATGCCAATTGGATGGTCGTGGGCTCTATACTTTGCTCAGGAAATAATCAGTGAACAATGTCGAATAGCATGTGGGGCCACAACAACTGAACTTGTCAGGGACAAGACGGCTGCTCCGATGCTGTCACCGGGAAAGGCTGTGATTGGGGTACACGTTGACAATGTGCACACCTTTGGTGGGACCATACAGGATGCTTCAGACAACATGACCAAGATCCAGCACCACTTTGAATCTCTAGGTATTCCTTTTGAAGTTGATCATGTTTCTGGACAAACCTCAGTTGACACAATGGGACTGACCTTCAACTTTGAGAAAGAGAGAGTCGTCGTCAGGGCGAAGCGTGAGAGGGCGTGGAAGCTCTGGCTGACCACTCGAGCACTGCTGAGGCCGCGACGGATTAGTGGGGAACTGTTGAGGGTCTGGATTGGACATGTGAACTTCCACTTCCTGCTGGCGAGGCCCTTGCTATCCTGCTTATAAGTGCATGCTATGCCTTCGCGGCCAAGCACAGGCACCATCGTTATCCCATGTGGCCTGCAGTTCGCAAAGAATTAAAAATCATCTTGGGGCTCAGAGCGGTTCTTCTCCTGCCAATCCTGAAGTTCATGTTGGGGATTCATCAGATCGCGGTTATGGCCTGATGAGCATGTTTGCAGAATCTTCACACGTGAAAGCAGAACTGAGAGTGAGAGAGAAGTGGCGGTTCATTGTCAGCAATGAAGCTGTGCTCAATCCGAATGGGGGTGGGCCTCCGGAGGTCTTTGAGGATGTGGATGATGACGTCTTCAAGGGCAGCTTTGCGGCAGCAGGCGTGGGAGCGAGAACAGAGTATGGCAAGCAACTACAAAACAAAGCAGATGGGGGCTCCATTTTTGGGGAGAATTCAAGCCGATTACAACGCTTGAAAGGGCCAGTTGAGGACTCCTCAAGCACGTTATTGGAAGTTCATGCAATCCCTGAAGTGTCAAGCAGATGGACCAATCCCACCAGGTGGAAGCTCTTGGCGCCGGGAGCGTGGCGGGATGTTGAGGAGCATATCAACGTGAAAGAGGCCAGGGTTGCATTGATGAGCTTGAGAAGATTGGGGAGAAGTGTAACCAACATGGGCACCACTTGTTTGACCCTTTGTGACAACCTATGCCCAGTCCTCATGTTTGAGAAGGGGAGAAGTGGCCTTGAACAACTTGTGCGAGAGAGCAGCTGCATATCAAATTGGATGCTCCATCGAGTGGAGACTTCGCCATGTCAGGTCAGAGGACAACGTTGCTGACGCGCCATCACGGCGATGGGGCCCCGATTTTGAGCGACCTTTGAAATCTAGGAGGTTGGATAGAAACTCTCTGGGTGAACATTTTTTCATCGACTCATTTGAGCAGGGCAGTATTCCTTCCAAACCATCCAAGTTGAAAAAGGTCGAGAATCACAAGGTCGGACCCACAGCGTTTTTAGAACTTTTTGCGGGCACAGCACGGTTGAGTGAGGCGATTGAAAAGTCTGGCAGCAGAACACTTCCAGCATTCGATGTGGCGAAGGGGCAGCACTATAATCTACTGGACGGAGGGGTTCAGGAAGTAGTTTTGGGCCTGATCCGTGGTGGACATGTGTGGTACATACATTTGGGTACTCCTTGCACAGCATGGTCAAGAGCTAGGCATGGAATTGTCAATCACAAGAGGGCCAGGCAGAAGGAGAGATTTGCAGTTGGTACAGCACTTTTCACAGTCAAGGTCATCAGAGAATGCATTAAGCATAAGTTCACTTTGGAAAATCCCAGCAGCAGTCGGCTATGGCAGTTCAAACCGATTGAGGACCTTTTCCAAAACAAATCCATTTGCTTTTTCACATTCGATCACTGTAGGTTTGGCATGCCTTTTAGGAAGCGATCATGACCAATGAGAAGGCTTTCCTTTCACTGGCTATGTCATGCGAGGGAGGACACACCCACCAACACCTGAAAGGTTCAGATAAGGTTGAGATTGGCGGCAAGTTAGTTTATAGAAATCTCACTAGATTGGCGGGCGCGTATCCCTCGAGACTGTGTCGGAAGTGGGCTCAAAGCAGAAATAGCAAAGTGACGGATGTAGAGATTCATGAGTTTGACAAACTCCTCAAAGAGGCGAGACGTACAACTGACAGAGAAACTTCGCAAGCTGCCGATGCACCTGATCACCCAAATTGGGAAGGTGAGGCAAACTGCGACGCCCGGGTGCTCCAAGAGGCACGTGACTTCATCCACAAGCACCCGGTCATCTTTGGTCAGTTCAAAAGGTCCGACATCGATGCAGAGGAATAGGAGATCAGTGAGAACCGGGCTCAATGGCGAGAACCTACCTCCTGCCACCAGGCTTAGAGCTCTGAAGGTTGGTCAGAAGACTCTCAACAGATATCTGACATGCATTAAGGAGTTTGAAGCGTGGTGCAGGGGGCAGGGCAGAAAAGTTACGGATGCTCAGCTAGACAGACACGTCACAGCATATATTACTCACCTATATGATCATGACTTTGACCTATCTGCTGCGACATATACTATTTATGGACTTCAACTTTTGCGGTGCAATGTGGCCAAAGAGGCCTTTCTGGTTGGAGCCAAGCAAAGCTTAGCGGGGTGGCGCAAGATGAATCCTGGGAAGATGAGGATGCCAGTCCCAGAAGAGTTCCTATGGGATTTGGGGACCTTGGCGGTGGAGGAAGGCCGTTTGGATGCTGCCATGAACCTCACCTTACAGTATGATGGTTATATGCGTCCTTCGGAATGCCTCTCCCTACATTCTTCACAAATTTGCCCCCCCTGCAGGTAAACGGTATCCACACTGGGCTATAGCTATTGCTCCCTCTGAGTTGGATGAGACGACCAAAACTGGGACTAGCGATGACTCCATTTTGATAGGAGATCTTTCACACAATTGCTGGGATAGGGACTGTTTGCGACTCTGGATGAAGAGAATTCCGAAAGCCGGAGGACCACTTTTTCCAGACCTTAGCTTATCCCTGTTTGAACATTGGTGTCGACATGCATGTAGCAAACTTCAGTACAAGACAGCTTGTATGACACCACACGTCATACAACACTCAGCAGCGAGCAACGACAGTTACCACCGCAGAGGCAACCTTGCAGAAGTTCAAAAACGAGGCAGGTGGGAAAGCAAACAGAGTGTTGGTAGATACTCAAAACATGCTCTCCTTCTGCATCAATGGAAGCAAGCGCATCCCTCTCGTGTTTCAACGATCGGGAAACGATCTCAGCATTTTCAGACTGCGTTCCTGACCTCGCTGCGACAGAGCGGTTAGACCACAACATGAAATGAGAATGGGTGAGCAGAAGCTGTAGACTGACTATCAGTTGAAGCTGCATGACACCTGAAACAACAGCTAAAATGATGGCAAGTTCCGAACCTTTTTCAGTTGGCATAAATCTTTAACAAATTTCAGGCACAGCAACCTTTGCACCAGGCCAAAACCGCAGCAGTGCAACTGGGCATGGGTGAGTGGTGAAGGGATTTGTATATATATGTATATATATATATGTATGTATATACATATATATGTATATATACACATATATATATAATTTATATATATATATATATTATATATATATTAATATATTAATATATATATATATTAATATATTAATATATATCCAGATGATCTATACTAACTTTAATACTGGATATATTAAGCTTCCCGGGGCGCGGATTCTCCACGGCGGACGCCGGGTGCGGAGCAGCTTCCCGGGGGGGAGCATCCATCTTCGCACGTGCAGGGACAAATGCTTAGTCTAGGAAGTTCAAAATCGTCCCCAAATTATCCTGGCAAGAGACTCCAAACAGTTTGGGGGAGTGGGAGGATTATGTATGATAATGTTGTTGATGGCGATGATGATGATATGATGATGATGTTGATGATGATGATGATGACGATGATGATGTTGAGGATGAGGTGCAGGAGGATGAGGTGCAGGAGGATGACCTTGCAACTGTTTCAAGCCAACCACACCTGGGCACTAGAGCCCTGAGCTGCCATGGGGACCTGCGTCATTCACTTTTACGAACGATTGTCGTTCTGAATTCGATGGCGAACGTCCTGCCTTGTGTGGCGCATATATATATATATGTGCGTGTGTGTGTGTATATGTATATATATATATATTATATTTGAATATGTGTGTATATATATATAAAATCAATATTATCGATATAAATATGTTCCGAACATATAATTTCTCACTGCGGTGTGTGTGTGTGGTAATTAGTTTGGATTCATGGGATATTTTCATGGGTGTTTCATAGGAAATTGTAATCATCGATATGTGATATGATCAAAGTATGTGAATAGGTTAAAACGACCTTACCATAATGTCACTGTAAATGATGATTTTTATAAGGGTTAAGTGTGCTGAAATTGCCTTTGAGTATCTTTTGAACTAGCAAAAATTATCCAGGTTTTCCTTGAAACTGCATTTTTTTGTCAAAGTGTGCTTTGCGCGTGTGGAAAAAAAACCGAACAGGATTTGTTGAACCAAATGATTGGCCCTTGTGAACGTATCGGTCAGTGGGATGGCGTCATCAGAACGATCAAACAAGAATGAACCCCAAAATCCACCCAGAAAATCTCTGACATTGCAGCATGCGTCATCAGAACCAGATTTTTTTGGGAATGATATCAGCAATGAGACTCGCTTCGTGGTTCAATTGAGGCATATGTTTTGAGACATGAGATCTGTGTGGCAAAATCATGAACCTCCGCAACATCTAGTTGATGTTAATATTAGGTACAATTAATATCAACTAATAACCTCTGACTGATAATTTTTGTCACATTTTTCAGGATTTCCTCACCGATGATCTCATCCCAATGTGTTTTTTTGACCTTTCTTCCGTTGCGTGCGAGTTGCGAAACGCAGGAGGATTTCGAGAATCTGGACATCGGGATCCATCCAGAGGTGAACCATGAATAGCATGGTGATTTGTTTCCATAGTTTTTGTTGTATGTTTACCAGAGGCTAGAGGGTATCATGTATCATACACTCAAGCGCAAAAAAACATGATACACCAAAAAAAACACGTCATATTGCATCAAATCAAAAATCATTATTCATAGCATATCATATAATATCATGTCAGATCATATTTCGTATATCATATGTAATGTTTGATATATTTCATATGCAATATAGTAGTTCCGAATGGATAACCTTTCATATTTCATATTTCAATATATTTCATACATCATATTCCAGATTTGATATGTCATATCTCATAAGCCATGATTAACACCATCCGCTCAAGACTCCATATATTTTTGTGGCTGGAAGAGACAGGCGCCGATCCTGCGTGAGGTCGATATGGAGGAGAAATCGGATGTCGAACGGCTGTTCCAACATGTTTTGCTTTGTACCCGGCCTGGTAAACAAAAAAACTGATGGGAAAATCACCAATTTTAATGGGTAAATCCACTATTTCGACTGGGCCATGTTCAATAGCTATGTTTGTTTACCAGAGGGTATATCGAATATCAATTTTGAGTTTTTTTATGAGTAATCGACACAATGTTATAACATGTTTATATTCCAAGTTTCAGGTGTCTATGAAATTTTATCATGGAATTTCATGGGGAGTTGATATTAGATGATGTTAGGGTATACAAAAAAATGATCTTTTAATGGACAAGATTTGGAATTAGCCATCCAAGACACAGATATCGCCATGATGAAGCACCAGCACCACCATCCAATGGAATGAGATATGTCAATCAACACCATGGTTGGCCACTCAAACTACTTCGAGTATTACCCTCCAGTAAATTAACATAGACCCTGGCAGATAGGAATTGGAAGATTAGTTTCCTCTAACAATTGGTGATTTTCAGGGTCTATGTTTATTTACCAGAGGGTACATATCAATATCACCAAGAACTTTTGGGATGAAGTCTTGCATATGATGGGATGGGTAAAAAAAAACTCTTTTTTTCGGCCTGTCGATGAAATGCGTATTTGCTGAGTATATTTGATCAACACCGGTTGGGACACATTTAAATTATTTTAAATTTATGTTGTACAACAATTAATGATGAATATAAGCAGCAATGACAGGTATGGTTCACATTTCACAAGGATCACAGATGTATACAAATGAAATGATATGAATTTGTCATTTTTGGACCAAAACACTATCCTAATATATCCGAAATTCGGAGGTCCCTCAGGCCCAAAGTTATGTTTTTTTGCACCACGGCCAGGTCTTTTGCGGAGGGGCTGCCCCAGTTAGCCAAATGATCAGGTTTCTCTTTCGCGTTTGGAAGTTGGCCAACTATCAAGAATCATCACGCTATCAGCATTTTTCAACCCCTTCATCCCAAAACTGGATGAGAATTTTTAGGAGAAACCCCTTCAATCACAGGTCTTTTCAACCGTGGTTTTGAAATGTTCCTCAACGAATCCATTGAGTTTAGACTTGGCCAAGTGGTCCCAGGAATTGGCTTCCAAAGAAGGTCTTTGGCTGCTCGGTCACGGAAAATCCGGAGTGGTTGGCCGATGAATTTCCGCGTTTTTTGGGTCATGATGAAACATCGGAGGGTCCGGACGCATGGAACGCGGCTGAGGCTGGCCATTGATGGTATTGTTTACGACCTCACGTGCCTTGGAGAAATCCCACCAGCTCCCAGCTCCAGAGTGGTGAACCGATTGTGGAAATCCCAAGAAGGACATGTGACCAGGCGGGATCAACAACGCAAAAGACGGGATTGAGATGAAACAAACACAAGTTATATAATATTGTTGGTTCCTGTTTTCTCTGTGATGTTCCTCCTATGGATATAACACGATATAGCCAAGAAAACATTGGAAATACTGCCAATACATTTGGATGTCATCGAATTCTAGGTCATATGTACTCTATGATGTCTGATGTCAGAAAAATGCTGAAAAATCATCATGATAGTACTGTACTAAATTATATCATTGGTAAATCCCATTGAATTCCCCAAAAAAAAATGTCCTTGGTAAATCCCAATCTCTCGCTGATCCAGAAATCTTCCGAGGTTATTCCAGAAACAGCATCCAGGAGGTGTGGGCAAGTTGGCCAAAATAGGGTACCCCCAAAATCTGTTGGTTAATCTGCATTTTCCCCATCAAATGGCCATAATTGGAGAGGAAAACGGGGTATGATTTGAAGACTTGGGTTTTCGTTCTTTTTCATGGAAAGAGCAATGTTTTTCCCAGTATGGTCCAATGGTATTCCCACATGTCCCATGATTTTCTCGTATTTGTCCATAAAAAATAATGGTTTCCCTTCCTTACCTGGCTATTTGGCCCTGTTTTTGGACAAACTTCGACATCACTCTGGAGATTTTTTCCAGGCGTAGATGTGCTCCGCAGTTGTGCTGGTTGGTCACTGAGTTTTCCAGCGGTTTTAACTGTGTCGGGGGTGTGGCTAATAGATTACTAACTGGTACTTTGTTACATAGCTATGGAAAATCACAAGTAAATCATCTATCCATGGGCAATTTTTTTTCATCCATTTTCCACAGTTTTCTCAAATACCCGGAGGATACCGGAACATACCGGAACCATTTCCGCGTCAGACACGTTTTGACACAGGGCGAGAGTTTAATTCCTCCAAGTGGCTGTCTCCGGTGACTTAGAAGTTGCGGAACACTCTTTTTACTGGTAAACCACAGTCTTAAAAACCTAGAATTGATGATAAAAAATAACATGTGACACTCTTTGTAGCTGGTAAAACACAGTTTTAAAAATCATACCTTTCACTAATTCACTAAGAGTCGAGATTTTAATGATCATTATAGAGGGATACCCTTTAACCAAATCTAATCAAAAACATACCATGTGATGGTCAAATCCCCTAGATTTGATCCCCAAATCCCTCGTGTCAAAGGTCGAGACGCGACGGCTGAATTCCAGTCGTGTCCCGCATCCAAGTTGCCTCTGGTTGGGGGCTGAGGGTCGCATACCTGGGGAAACCTTCGAGAGAGATCAGTGGGAGTTGATGCTGGGATGGATTTATGATGATTTATGATGATTTATGGATGTGAATATGTCCAAATTTCATATCAATGAGCTTTTGATCCCCAAAATACCTGGATTTTTGTTGGGCTCAAAGATTTGGAACGGTCGTCTTTGCCATGTCGCGCTGAGGCTTCGATTTGCAGATACCAGGCGCCCAGCAGCGTTTTTCGACCCCTTTTTCATCCTTTTTTGGGGTCTCGGCTTACCAGATAATGCGGTAAATCCAATAATCAAACCCTATTAATTTGGATAAAACAATAGTAAACCACCCATTTGGGAATTGTTTATACCTCCTACAAAAATGATGATTTTCCTGGGGGATGGTGGGTTTATGGCATTGTTTTGCCCACATGGGGATGGTTCCAATATTTCCCATCTCTAATCGGAGATTGTTGCCAGGTCGGTCCTTTGCGGCTACAACCCAAAGAGTATCGCAACTCGGGTCGCAGCAGTTTTAGTGAGATCAAAAATGGAATGGTAACAGTTCGATACATCAAATGTTTTGGTTTGTTGATGGGTGCCTGTCTTATTTCCCAATTTGAATCATCAGCATATCTCCATCAACATCTATGCCCCATGCGCCAAACAATGTTCGTATTTGTTGCAACAAGTTTGGATCCCTGGCTCTCTAGGTATCTTTGAACACAAGGAAGAGGAACAACGGATGCAGAGGCCGCCACGTAGCAACTGTGGGTTGCAATGCCCAGTTTGAAGTCCAACTTTGTTCAAGGCAATCTGATATAATCTGGTTGGTGGTTTCAAACAGTTATTCTTTTCCATTTCATATATGGGATAATCCTTCCCATTGACTAAAATGTTTTCAAGATGGTTAAGTCACCACCAACCAGTACAGATCAGAAATGTTTTGGACATGGATTAAGTAAGTAATGGTTGATCGTTTTTGGCGCTCAACATCCAAGAAATCCAACCCTACATTTTTCCAAACTGATTCAAACATCTACTTTCCAGATTTGATAAGATCAGCATAAACCTAGCAATTCCATCAGATTTTTTTCGTTTTTTTTTTGGATCCAGAAATAGGATCCACCATCCCCAATGGATGGTACCACCAGCATCAAAATGATGGGTTGACCGTTAGCCTGTCAGGTTATTGGTAGCATTGATCTCCAGCTTAGTCCTTGCGGCAGTGGTCATGATGGTCAGACCCTCAGGAAGTTTTCTCCAAAAAACATGGGAACTGAAACAGTTGGGCTATGTTTCCGACATCTTTCCTGAAGCTTTTGGTCGTCAATTTTGGCGAAGAATATGCCTCAACGAAACCACCATGAACCATTATTAACCAGCATTAACCATTATTAACCAGCTCGAGTTTGGCCAAGTTTTTGTTAGGCCTTTGCCAATCAAGCAGTGGAGACGAGACTGATCAAGGACGACGGAACTAGTGGTGCCAGGGTACAAAATGTTGAGATGTTGATTATTTGATCTGGCATCAAATGGTCCATTTGGTAATATTAGTGTAAAAACATGTTTGAAGCCACCATGTATTGCCATTTTTTGAATAGATACAAAAGATATCAAAAGATAATGTGTGTTAAATTACAGTAAATTACCCCACTGTGCAGAGAATCATCCAGTGCTTGGGTCTATATACCCATGGTTCGTCCCCAAAAACGTGGCCTTGCCACCGAAGTGTTTGAGTTCTCCATCTTTCGGCGTTAAAAGCTGCTGCAAGAACAACCGCGCTCCTGATTTCTTTACAAGGCGGCGCCCCCCAAGATAGCTAAGTTGGTTAAACAAACTCCAATAATTTGTGTGTCATTGTGACTGACAGATATATCGAACTAGTAACATCTAGTCACCAACATTATTCTGGGTTTATAAACCAACATTCACATTTCTGGAGGGGCCCAACTGGGTCTCTCCTATCGCCAGGAAAGCGCCAGCTATGGAGAACTTCTCCTGCCGGGGTCGCTGTTGTCGACTTTGGTGGGTGTGCTCTCAGTGCTGCTGCCCATGAGGCATCGAGAGGGACCGAAGGGAGCGACATGGTGCCGTGGTGATTGGGATATGAATGATATGTTAATATGGATGTTATGGATATTATCCTGTATATTATAGTAATATCTGCTTGGTGGTTTGGAACATTTTTTCCCCATATATTGGGAATGGAATAATCATCCCAACTGACGACGTCCATCATTTTTCGAGGGGTAGGTGGCTCAACCACCAACCAGTTATATATATAATTAGCTGGGAAAATTCTCATCGAACTAAATGGTGGCAAGCCAGGTGACTGACACAAAGGAGGGTTTTTTTGATGACGGACATCCCATGAAAAAATCCCATGAGTATCAGCAATGGTGGATGTTCCAGCTTGCCACGTCAGAAAACTTTCACGTCACGGATGGGATTTGTTTACTCCAAAACTTGGGATGATCCCAAGGCAGATTTCATGGATGGTTTTTCTGAATGTAGAAAAAATATCTCACAGAGATTGTGAAAAAAGAAGTAACCACCCAGCAGTTATCACCAGTTACTCATAGTTACTCTATTGGATTATTGGTAGATATCAAGATAGTTGAGATAGAGGATACCCAGAAAATGAGCGAATTATCACACGTACTATGGCCATATCAGATGCTGGTTGGTGGTTTGGAACCATGGAATTTTATGACCTTCCATAATATTGGGAATGGAATAATCATCCCAACTGACGAAGTCATATTTTTCAGAGGGGTAGGTATACCACCAACCAGTATGAGTTTGTTCAAATACTGGACCTGAAATTTCCACCAAAATTGGGAGCTGCCACCTTGAACTCAGGCAGAAGTTAGGTGGTTCTCAATGCAGGGCTGCGGGTGGCTGGCTTGGGAACTCAGATAAGCAATGGTTGCAATACCCACGTTGCTTGATGACTCTAATAGCTGGTAAAAGGGGAGTGAACCATGATTTATAGGTGGAAAATATGTGTAACTTATACTTTTTAATTCTTATAACTTATAATCATGAAACAGATGGAAATACAATTGATAAATCCCACTTGAATTAGTTGCTGGTTTGTTTCAGAAATGACTTGGATATCCCAAGCTGTGGCACTTTTTCGGAAGATAACCTGTTTCCCTGTGGCTTGGATCATTTGATCAACAGAGGCGGTAGTTTCCCCATGGGAGAACTGTGGCGGCATTGGCGATTTACACCATATTGCAAATGTCGAAATTTCGGATAGGTGTTTTGTCGACTTGAGTTTGAGACAGAAATTTTCACCTCACCCAACTGGTCAATGTTTATCCGGATGGATAGGTGTCAAATTTCTTCCACTTCCGTTCAGATCAACTTCTGACTGTTTTTTTTTGTCCGGCTCCACCTGGTATGGTGACTGGCGGCACTTGTAAAATCCACCATCATTTGACGATTTGATCATATTTGACCATATTTGACCCATAAACAATTGGGAAATGTTTTCGGGTGCATGCGCCTTTGCTACCAAGGAAAGCACACGCCATCGTGCAAAACTCAGTGGATGTTTTACGGGTCTCAAAGTTGTGGATGAAATCCCAATTGTGCGCTGAAATTCCATAGATATTCCTACTTATGGAGATTCAAAACCCATAGTTCTATCCATTTCTATCCATATAAATCCCAGTCATAGATATATGAAGCCCATAAATCCCATAGTTAGTGTTGCCTTTTCAAATAAGCTATCCCTAAATAGGTGAAAAACCACCATTTGCTCTATGAAAAAGCAGCATTTTTTCGGGGGTCCCAGGCGCTGCTGCTTTTGGTGAACCACCTGCTCCTACCGGCCGCCTTGCAAAGCTCCTGGCCGACCGATGCGGCACCACATGGCCGCTCGCAGTGGATTTCATGGGGGTTAGAGCCTGATTAAGATGGGGAAGATAAGATGAATTATACTGGTTGGTGGTTTGGAACCATAGAATTTGGATTGATTTTCCATAATATTGGGAATGGAATAATCATCCCAACTGACTCATATTTTTCAGAGGGGTAGGTATACCACCAACCAGCTATTGTAGATTATATCCACCCATTAAGATTAAGGGGTGAGCATTTTTCATTCTAGTTCATGGCCTTGGGTGGTAGTCAAAGATGGTTAGAATTACATCCCATGCAATTACTATAACCTATCAACCATGGAGAGAATCATCGTTAATTGGTATAAACAATTATCAGATTATTGGCAAATATGGTGCCCATTCTTTTGTTGACAAGTTGATTGGGTTTTTTCCCACTAGTAACTAGTACAACTATTTGTTCATCTATGAACTATTAAAACTATTAAGAAATATTAACAGTATCTGTTTCATAGATTAAAAAAATAGTTGAAAAAATAGTTGTACAAGTTACTACAGTAGTTACTGTAGGTGATTATCACTGAAAATTACTCTCCAAATCTATCACCGGAACGGATCGAGGCCTGGAATTGTCCTCCGTGGCGCTGTTGTTGCTGGAGATCATCTTGGCACCGGTGGCGAAACCGGTTGCGGTTCAGTTTGAATGGGGAGAAAAATGTGGAAAATCACAGGGGAAATTCACAAGTGTGTTTTTTCACTTGGAAAATGTCATGTTTGTTCACATGTTGTGAAATTTTCACGGAAATTCACCACAAGAAACATGTTGAAAAAACATGAAAACATGGTGGGTTCCATGGTGGGTTTCATGGAAAAAAATCACCGTTTCGGGAGAAATAAAAAGGTGGAATCTCCACGGAATCCCCAATGAAAACATGTTTGATTTCTTCAGCACCTCCTTGTCAAAAATGTTTGATAAACGTGATGTAAATGTTTATGGCTTTAAGACATTTTAAGATGTCGCAAAAGCCCAAAAAAAAAGTCACAGTTGATGCTGCCAGTTGATTTTCTGCCATGCGTTGGCGTTTTTTCGCCAGGCAATGACCCCTCCGGTACTTCCCATCCTGCTATGCCTTGGGAGCTGGTACTATCGAGGTGCGAAATGCCGGTGATTTCTAGAGTTGAAGCAGTAACCATGGAGGTTCCTAGGTCCTATGGGTACCCCAAAAATTGTCAATTTTTAGTACTGAAAGCCAAGGGATTTAAAGGGTATCCCCATTTTATAGGAAACATCCATGTAATTATGTATATATATATATGGTTATAATTATAATCATCCATAAATATTGAAATGATGATTGGTTGATGGTTGATGTATTGTAGGGGATAATATACCAAGGTCTTATACCAATTACAGAGAATTGTTCACCATCAACAATGAAGGTTTTAACCATGGATGCCATGATGAAACGCAAAAATTTGACCAGTGATACCTCCAGGAATGGTGAGTTTTCTCAAGAAAACTGGCTGGTGATTTTTGCGTTGATAGAAGTAATAGAAAAAAATATGGCGTTATAGAAGATAGCAGAATATCAATGAATAGAAGACCATCTTCTGTCAGAATCAACTCCAATCATGGAACGATGAATATATGCAAGACTTCGTCTGGAGTGTTTGACGGTTTATTCATCAGGGGAAGGGATTTTTATGTTTTCTGGGGAGGGGTCACCAATGACAGGTTTTTCTGGGAAACCTATGACATATGAGTAGGCGGATCTGGTTCGGTATGTTCATAGTTTTGGATAAAACACCACATGATTTTTGGGTGACGGCCAACCTATTCCCCTCTTTTGTAGACATGACAACTGACTAACCCAAGTGTCGAGCAGCTGCTCTAGGATGGTGATGTCCAAGAGTCCAATGACTGAAATATGCCATAATATGACTGGATACCATGCCCTTCATGCCCATGAGAAAAAGACATGGAATGTTTTCAAGAATGTGCAAAATGAAGGTTAAGTTAGTTCCCGATGTTTGTTGGATGTTCATTTTGTTTTGATGAATGTACATCCAGAACTAGCCTCCACTTTTCTCAACTCTTCATGATAGTTGGTTAGTTGGTCATGTATTTCATGACAATTCCACTCCATCAAAAACATCGTATGTTTCATTCAAACAAGGGGGGGTCCATACATCGGGGTTAGCCCTATTTTGTTGGAAACCCCGATGTGGCATAGATATGACCAATTACTGTTCAATGTTGCTTATCCCATGAGTTCTCATGAATGACCCACTAACTAATATTAGTATATATTAGTGTTATAGGTGTGGGATGATTGAGGGATGATGGTTTATGATGGTTATGGAAAATCCTAATTAAAATCATCCCTCAATCATCCATATTTTAGATTGGGATTTTCCATCATAAACCATCCATTATTGCTGTGTCGATTCCAGGTGTGACGGCTTCAGATTGCATCACGCCCGGCGCCAGGCTCAGATGCGATCTGAGGGAAAAAATGCCGGCAAGGTAATTGTCGGCTATGAAAATGTGAAATTTATGGATGTTTTATGTGGTTTTTCCATTTGTTTCACTGGAATTGATTTATTGGATTGTCTGGTTTCTTTGTTGAGTATGTGGTTTCGAAGTGTAAATGGCTGTTTAGCGGATGTGTCGTTGGTGTCTCTGTGCGTTTTATGTTTTTTTAATGCATAAGACATGAGTTCATTTGTATAATCATGGGCCCCTAGCATAACCTCCAGTGACTTCCCACTTTCAGCTCTCTGATGTATGTTACTATAATTTGGCCGCATCTAACTAGGAAGTGATTGTTGGGGCTATCCCTATCAACAAATATGCAGCTGGCTTGAACCTAAAGTCTGATTCTTGACTTCAGAAATTGCAGTTGTCCTTTAGTTTCAAGAGTCTTCACAACAAGTTGCCCATAGCACCAGAGCAGCAGTTTATGTACAATACTGAATTTCTGCATGTAAGTTTTGATCATAGGAATTGTTTGACTTCCAGATCACAATGCCAGCTGAGTTTTGCCAATGCAAAACACAATATTTTGGATCTTGAGCCGTCACCCTTCCCAGAGGTCTTGGGATACAGCCCCAATTTCCTCAGAGTTCGCGCAGGATCATCATCAGGTTATGTTTTTTGTGGTGAACCAGTCATGTGGATGTGTACGATTGGGGACACCAACGCCCCCTCCAAAAAAATGCGGTAGAGCCAACAGCCAACACTCAACCGCCTTTTTATTTTTTGGAGGTACATGTTACACAATATGTGTTTTCTTTTTGCGTTTTTCTGGTACACCCAAAAAGGTGGTAGAATTGCCGTGGAAAAACACCGTTTTAAAACGATACATCTAGAAATGGGCCGTGTTCCTGATCTCATCATCTCCGATTGGAATGATCTCCTCATGATCTTCCCAAATCACCAGGACATCCATTAAACCACCATGAAAAGTCCCATGAAATAACCAGCATGAAATCTGAAAAATCCCCATGAAATCCCCATGAAAAGTCCGTGAAATGACGAAAAATAACGAGCTTCGCCGAGGTGTCTACATTCCGTGGCGCAAGGCTATGGCTTTCGCCATGAACCTGGTGTTATTGACGTGCCTCGGTTGATTGGAGATGAAACATGGTGATTTAATGGGATAGTATGGGAAAAACATGGAAAATCATGTGTAAGTAAAACCTGGAGATTTACCTCTTGATTTATTATACCATTGTTTATTGGTGATGATGTTTTTTGGAATTCTTACTACCTGGTGATTGGCAATTATGAACTAACCCGTGTTAGGGAAAGGGTTTTCAACCAAGTCGAATTTTATGAGATAGGATAGGATATAGGCTCACATATCCTGTAATATGTCATACCTTCCAGTTTTTTCAAACGTGGCAGCCAGAAACTCCATCATTAATGGATGATGTTCCCATGGAAAAAAACTCCGTTTAGAGGAGATATGTCGTACATATCTTCATAGACCCTCTGTTTGTACCTATAAGAATTGTGTTTTACCTGCAATTTCAATACGTTTACCACTTCTTGGAGGGTATTTGGAGGATCTACGTTGATATGATATTATTCGAACACACATTCCACAATATTCCATGAAGCATTTCGGAAAAAAAGTACATCTTGCATCATCTTGCATCATCTTGCATCATCTTGCATCATCTTGCATCATCTTGCATCATCTTGCATCATCTTGCATCATCTTGCCAGCTTCTTTATGGCTTAAATCATGTTAAATCCCCACTTTCTCTGGTAAAATCCCAATTTTTCGCCATTTTTGTTGCTCCAGGCGCTTGGCGCAGACGCGGCCGGCCGCCGCACGGCATGGTTTGGCACTGTCTGCGCTGTATGGTGGAGCTGCAGGGAGCTGAAAATCATGGGAAAATCCATGGGAAAAGCCACATTCTTTGGAGAAACTCTGAGAAACCCGGTTTTTGATGATCTCATAAAGTGAATGTTGAATGGAATCTAGAATGGGATCATATGAATTTTGATAGGAGAAATTTTGAAAAATTGATAAGAACAATTCAACAAAAGCCTGAAAATTGACCAAAAAGCCTGAAACCACGTCACGTCTGATTTTGTCATATTTTCCTCAAGTTTTTTGGATCAGCAAAATCTTCATGGGGTAAATCTGGGTCATCCCCTGAGGTCACCGGCTGTTTGATCTTCACCTGGCCCCACGCGACTGGTTTGGTTGGGGCACCCGCCGTGGGGAAGCTGGGAGCTGGGAGTTGGCGAAATCAGAATGTCCTACCCAGCTTTTTTGGGAACATTGTTTCTTTGAATCAATGGTTTTCCCACATTGTTTTGGTAAAATGATTGTTTTTGAATCCGCAAGGGTTTTGTATGTTTTGAGGATTTGTTCAGTATGCCACCATCATCCCCCATGACCAACGTATTCTTCAGATCGGAACCACCTGTTTATGGGTGCTTGAGCCACAACCCATCGGATTGATTTATTTAAGGCTGGTTATGGATGGTTGGAAATATTGGAGTGTAACATCCATTCCACAACTACCTAAAATGTGTGGATTGTCCATGTATATGTATACATATATGTGCGCACATATATATATATATGTACGTATTATACATAATATATATATATATATACATGCATGTGGATGTACATATATTAAATAGTTGTGGATATTTTGGATATTACAGCATCATCCAGCCAAAAAAGTGTGGCAAACCATGGCAACCCTCCCGACAAAGCAACTCTGGCGTGCTGTGCTGATCTGGAAATGAAAACGCTTAAAATGATGAACTTCAGGTTGATTAAAACATACCCTCTGGTAAACAAACATAGCTATTGAAAATGGCCATAGAAATAGTTGATTTACCCATTAATAACATGGTGGATCTTTCCATGGTTTTATGTAAACGTTTACCAGGCCGGGTAACCTTGGATTGAATCCATCAATAAATCTCATCAGAAAATCCCATAAATGGAAGCCTTCTGAGATCGCGCTAGGTCTCGCCTTGGCAGATTGCCGGCAGACACCTCAGCTCGAGTTTTTTGATGCCATTGCAGATGAGCGTTAATCAGATGCCATACGGGTATAACTGAAACAAAAAATTGAATTAATGATTGATTAATGATAATCAATGATTAATTAATGAGAATTAGTGATTAATTAATGATAATTAATAATTAATCAATGATAATCAATGATGATTAATGAAGACGTCCCTATTTAAAAGGTAGGATTTATCCCTGAAAAAAAACGTCAAAACGTGTGATTGCATGTCATAGTTATCATTTGCCCAGATTTCGGAGTTCGGAGTTTCCCGTTCTTCCAGGTCTTCTCGTGGCATCTGCTACATCGCTGCTGGTGCATTGTGCTGTCTTAGATGTTGCAAGATGGCCCAGTTTATTCTGTGAGGAACTGTCGAAAAACCTGGAAATTGGTGGAAAGATGTTGGAGAACTGCAGGAAGACTGTTGCTTCAGGGCTGTGATGTGTTTGGCTGAATTGGCTTTATTTTTTGTTCATTTTGATGGCGGTGTAGTTTTGGTACCAAGCTTGAAAATGATAGTCTTCAGCAAGCCAGATATCTTCCAAATTCTTCCAACGTGTTTTTTTTGCAAATTTTTAATTGTTGATTTTGTTGGCCGGTTTTTTCAGTGCTGGAGTCGTGAACGAGGCAATACAATGTTCTTCCAGATTTGCCACGAGATGTCGGGCACTTGGCAACTGCAGATCGAGTGAGGTGAAACGGTCAAGTTGACTCCCAATGTTTGGGAAGATTGTCGTAACCGGGGACACAAGAAGCCCATCCCAGCGATGGCTAAGGGGTGGCATTCTTCATGGCCGTGTTGAGCTTTTGCACGGTAGGCCTGAGCAGGCCACTCACTTTTGGAGATTTGGACGCCGCTATGCCCATGCCCAAAAATTTCCATTGCTATGGGTGGTAACCATCCCCAAATGACTGTTTATCGTGGTTTGTTTTGTTTTATTTATGTCTGTTGATCATTAGGTTTCCCACATTAGTTGAGTTGTATAAAAATAGGGGGCCATTGTGTCCAAATGTGGAAGATCACTGGCTGAAGAACTCATTTCTGGTTCTGTGATGTAGCTGCAGGCCCAGCTTTTTTACTTACCTTTCAGCTTCAGAGTATTAACTTTGATTCTTTGACTAAACGGCACAGATAGTCATTCCATGTCATTCCATGTCATTCCATATCTCTTCCGAAAGCGAAGAGAAATGTGTGGCCTGAAAGCTTCCATATTAGACTTCCAACAAAAAAATGAGGGGAAATTCCACCCAATTCCAATGGATCCTGATCGAAAAAAATGGTGATTTCGGAGCTAACCAAAGCCTTCAATATCCTTCATTTTCAGGTACAGAATTTACTGAGTTACTGTAATTTTCGACATCATAAAACTACAGAAAGTCACCAGCCAGTGGGGCTCCATGAGACGCCCAGCGCCCGCAGTTTCCGTTGGTTGGCGCTGCTGGGCCTCTTTCATCATTTGCTGGACCTGGCGAGGCCGATGGTGTGCCGATGGTTTGACGTGACCACATCGCTATGGCTATGGCAATAGACATCCAGGATCTAACAGAAATATAGATGGATAGATGATCTAATATATGATACTAATAAGGATCTAATAAATATAATAGAAATTTAGATAGTTAGATTCATTACTATTAATATTATATATATATTACCATTATCATGATCCAATGATGTTATATTACTATCATTATCTGATGGTAATGATAATGATAATGACAAGTAAAAATACTACTAGAATGATAGTAATGATAGTAATGATATTATCAATGATAGTAATGATAGTAACGGATCTTCAGTAATTGTAATATGAATGATAGTAATGATAGTAACAATCACCTACTAGTAATGATAATAATACTATGGCCAGTAATCGTATCTAAAATCAACTAATTAATAACCACATACTATTATTTGTTCTTAATGGCTGGTAACATTTGGTAACTATTATTAATGATAGCAATGATAATAGTAGTAATAGTAACAATATGGATCTAACAGTAATAGTAGTCATAGTCGGTAATAGTAATAGTATCTAATAGTTGTTTGGGATTAGTATGAAATATTACTATATTACTACTACAATCAATCATTACCAATAATTAATTCTTGTCAATCATTATATACAGCTACTTTAACTGATTGACGATGATATAGTTTACTATGAATGATTGGAGTATATTAGAGTAGTAATGATTGTAGTAGGGGGTTTATACCACCATACTTAATTACCCCTTCTATTCTTAATCTTGAACCCATCTGATTTTAGTAGATATAATAGGGATGACATAGTACCAGATGGTGATTCTTATATAGTAGTGTTATATATACTAATATCTATAGTAGTGGTATAAACTGATATTTTATTTCGTAACCTTTGGTAATCAAACATGGCTAGCTGAGAAATCAGTTTCAAACATGACGGAAATGGTGGATTTTCCGGCAGACCATTTTGAAAATATGTCAGAGGGTAATCCCCATTATCTATGATGATCAGAAGGTGATTTAAGTGTGATTGTTGGTTGATAATTGGTGATTGAATGAGAATAACCAGCTGATTATTGGTGATACGTTGGTTTACTTGCTGTTTGTATAATAATTTGATTGAAACCTTATCACTTTAGATGATTGAAATGTGAGTGTGTATGATTCGATTCTCAAAGATGGTATTGCTATATGTTTTCCTGGTGTTTTTTTTTCGATGTGATTGAACCTGGTCGCTTATGATTACATATATATATATATAATATTCATTTCATTGATGTTGAAACTTGAAAACCGTTGAATGTCCACTGATGTTTTTGGTTGATCAAGTTGAGCCTTGATGTTTTTCAACCCAACATCCCTGGGCCTAGGCACAACCGCGTTCGCATGGACCAGGCCCAACTCGGCGCTCGCAACTCCACATGAGTCAATAAAAACGCCCAACTGCTGATTGGCGTCATGAAATAAGGAGTAGTAATGAGTTATACTGAGTTATGGGATTATGAACTAACCCATGAATGGGAAACCGTGTTTAACCAACCAGTATTTCATGAGATAGGGGTATTTTTTATGGCTCACATGGGGGTTCAAGTATGCTCTCTGTCTTGCGGGAGCAAGTTCATCAATTTGTGAGCCAAGAAGTCGCAAAAAGTTGGTGACAGTGTCCTAGTTTTTCCACATCTATGCGGGTTCTCAAAATGCGGAACCCATGGGAATATCATCCAAGTTATTTAAGGTCATTTTTCATGGGGCAACAGCAATGGTTTTTAGAGAGGTTGCCCATTCTTGAGAAAACAAGAATTTGACTGTGATTCTCAAATTTCATCAGTCATTACTAAGTGACTACCTAATAACAACTACCACGTTGATTACGAAGTTCCTACCATTATTAACCCTAAACCCTAAGTTACTACCTGACATAATTACTAAATCTATTCAATGACTAGTTGAACTTTGAAGGCTAGTAACTTATATTTCGTTAAGGTAACCTTTCAATGACAGTTCTACTAAGTTACCCATCACCCAGCCCCCAGGGGTCCCCAGGTAGCGGCCGCCCAGCGCTTTCAACACCTGGACTGGCATGTCATTGGAGCACAGGTGGGACCCGGGACGACTGGGAGCCATAAGTCAGTGATATTTTGATGTATATACATACAATTACATACATATCACTGCATACACTGACTTATGTATATATATATACAATTATATACATATTATTGCCATAGTTATTGGCATTAATGTACATACATATCATGGTTAGCATATAAAAAAAGAATCGATTTAAGAGTAATAATCATGATTAGTACATTATTATTATGGCCATCATCATCTTACTGGTGCTAAACGCAGGGAATGAGGGAATGATGAATAATCACTAGTAATAATCATCCCAGCAACCCCCAGCAACCCATCCATTCCCTACGTTTAGCACCAGTAAGCCATTCGAGAGAATGATAAATATGATCTCTTTCTGGACTTTGGACGGAATGAATGTGTGGAAAATAGAAAGATAACATGAATATGGAATGATACTGATACTAACACCAATCATATTGTACCAGTAATAAAACATTAATCCATGATGCTTGCTAGCATTATTGACAATGGAAAAATATTCCATCGAATGCAGCGGGTCATGAGAAATAGTCAACAATACGATCTATTGTGGTGTTTATCCAAAAATGGTATCTCAAAATGGCCATCAGCCGCAATGGTAAAATGATAATCGAAGGAAGTTTAGAAGTCAAACTTCCGACAACATGGACAGATGAAAAGCAGAGATGGGAAGAGTCAGAGAGAAGAGAAGAGTAAAAGAGAGAAGATCAGAGAAGAGAAAGAGTCAGAAGAAAGAAGATGCAGATGCACGAAAAGGTAAATGTAGTATTGTTGTAGTTGTAGTTGTAGTTGTAGTGTAGTGTAGTGGAATGTAGTGTAGTGTAGTGTAATGTAGTGTAATTGAGTGTAGTGTAATGGAGTGTAGTGGAATGTAGTGTAGTGTAGTGTAGTGTATTGTAGTGTAGTGTAGTGTAGTGTAATTGAGTGTAGCGGAGTGTAGTGGAGTGTAGCGTACTGTAGTGGAATGTAGTGTAGTTGTAGTGTAGTGTAGTGGAATGTATTGTAGTGTAATGTAGTTTAGTGTAGTGGAAGGTAGTGCAGTGTAGTGTAATGTAGTGTAGTGGAGTGTAGTGTAATTGAGTGTAGCGGAGTGTAGTGGAGTGTAGTGCAGTGTAGTGTAGTGTAGTGTAACTGAGTGTAATTGAGTGTAATTAAGTGTAGTGTAGTGTACTGGAGTGTACTGTAGTGGAACGTAGTGAAGGTGTAGTTGTAGTTTAGTTTAGTGTATTGGAGTGTAGTGTGGTGTAGTGGTGGTTGTAGTTGAAAATGCTACAAAACCCTCACGTTTTGCTCACTTTTGACAAGGTGCACAATCCCTTGCACCTGCCACGCGAAACGACATCTGAACCTCCAAGAGTGGTCCGAACCCCTGGTGTTTTTAACGTTTTGACTTCGAAATGTGCTTCGCGCCGCAACGGCGTGCACTTTTTCGACATCTCAACTTCCAAAAGTGGTCCGTACATGGTGTGTTTTGTACATTTTGACTTCGAAATGTGTTTCGCGCCACAACGGCGTGCACTCTTTCAACATCTGAACCTCCCAAAGTGGCGCGAGCATGTGGTGTTTTGTACATTTTGACTTCGAAATGTGCTTCGCGCCACAACGGCGTGCACTTTTTCGACATCTCAACTTCCAAAAGTGGTCCGACACTGGTGTGTTTTGTGCATTTTGACTTCGAAATGTGCTTTGCGCCACAACGGCGTGCACTTTTTCGACATCTTATCTTCCAAAAGTGGTCCGACACTGGTGTGTTTTGTACATGTTGACTTCAAAATGTGCTTCGTGCCACAACGGCGTGCAATTTTTCATCTCTCATCTGGCCAGATGGCTCCGCACCCGCCGCTTTAGCGAGCCTACTTTTCGACCCTCTGGAGCTCCAAATCATTGGAAAAACACAGTGTTTCGCGACTTCACTACACTACACTAATTACACTACACTACACTACACTCCACCACACTACACTGAATTACACTGCACCACAGATAGACAGGTAGACAGATAGATAGATAGATAGATAGACAGATAGACAGGTAGACAGGTAGACAGACAGATAGATAGATAGATCGATCGATCGATAGATAGATAATAGATAGGTAATTAGATGAAAGAACGAGAGAGAGAGAGAGAGAGATCGATAGATAGATAGATAGATAGGTAGGTAGGCAGGTAGGTAGGTAGGTAGGTAGTCAGAGCAAGAGAGAGAAAGAGAGGAGACCTCAAGCACCTTTCGGTCCATCAGTGGATTCGCTCTGCCATCCGTGATTCACAACAACCAATATCTCCTATAGGTTTCCTATTTTGAAACTTCCGCCACCGCCTTGTGCAGTACTACTGGTATCATCTCCAAGAGATAATAGCAGTATAACCCTTGCGCAAGCGATTCAGCAGAAGTCAAAAATTTAAGTGACCCCCATTCGACCGAAAACCATCGGTGATGGTAACAGAAAACCCAGATAGAATGGTGGATTTAGATGGATTTTGCCATCATATCATCATTTACAGGGGGAAAAACAAAAAAACTCACAAGCAACAAAACGGGAGATGCAACTGATCCTCTTTGGGACAAGAAAAACTTGGCCAGTTGACTGCAGGCTTTGTGGGATTCCAGCAAAGTCTCGATTCTGGGTTTCATCTGGAGGTCTGCGCTGCGATGGTCGGGGCTTTTGTTGTAAGAACCAGTAAAACAGGTGTAGAATCAGCCAGAAATATATTATAACCCTAGCTACATGATGCCACATATTTTTCATAATCACATTCCATGTAGCTAGGGTTTTAATAATCTGGAATAAGATGGAGTAGAACCCTAGCTACATGTTTTGAGAATGATATTCCATCCATTTCCATCCAATGGAAGGGAGGATATATGTGTTCATAATGATGTGGGACGTCAGTCGTGATCTGTTGGACATGTAACATGTCTTTTTGAATGGTTGGTAGACCACCGGCTTGTCTGGAGCGGAAGCCCAGCTATAATTGAAATGATTCAATGATCACCAAATATGTAGATATTGTCTATATACATATATTCGCATGTGTACCATATTAATCCATATCATTATTATTATATACATGCCTATATATATATATAGATAGATATAGATATAGATATGATAATGTTGTATCGTAATATTATGTGTATGTGTGTTTGTATTGCCATTCTAGGGGGACATCTGGGCACGATTTCGACAGGACGACGGTTTGCTCCCTGCAGCATGCGGGGAGCCGAGTTTCCAAAATGCCGTGACGGTCATTGTAATGCCATCCTTGGTGGTGCAGTTGGGGTTTTAACTCTAAAAAATTGGTCTAACCATGGGGTTTAAAAGCTCCATAGGTTGGCATCTTACCCCATAGTTATGGAACATTATCCATCATTAACCTCCAGCTATAACCAGAATTTTCACTACTGTTTTATATCCACTTATAGCTGCATCCCAGAGTCGCGGAATGGGATCAAGAGTTCAATCTCCAATGACCTCGTTTTTGGGAGACAGAGCATATAATGCTTCATTATGGACAACTAAAAAGCAAAAGACAAATAGCTAAAATTAGTGATTAGCCATTCACACCAAGCAGAATTCCACCAGCAGAAATCCATTAGTCCAACATAAGTCATATATATATAATCAAACATGTTCTGGGATTATCCATTCAAATTCAAACATCATTCAACCAATTAATGGAAATGGATTTGAAAGGGATATGATGTTTGAAAGATTCAACCATCATCAAGTAGGGGTCATATCCCAACTGATTCAGGTTATCACCACATATCACCTTTCCCAAGTCGTGACCGCTTCGCCATGCTTCGCCAGGTAATCACTGCGTTGATTCCCAACGGCCTGCAAGTCTACGCCTGCGAGGTGCCAGTGCCCAACTTTGGAGAGAAAGTCGCAATGGGACTGGCCGCGCAATACGTTCCCCCTGAGGTGCGATCCGTGGGAGATCGGGAGATCAGTTGGGGCATGTTGGAATCACCATTTAGAGACTGAAGAGGAGGCTGATTTTTGGGGTGATTTATGGTGATTTATGGTGATTTATGATGGGAATCGCCATTTTTTTGGGAACCAAAAAAATGGGAATATGTATGATTTATAATATGAAATGGATGTGAATCTTTGGGATATCCCCGAACGAAATCCTGTTCAAAAAGCTGGGGAAATCATCGAAGTATCGCTGGCTGATTTTCAAGCCATGATTACCAGAGGCTAATGCGATATATCACCAACTTTGAATATCACCAGTAATAGCTATCCATAGCACTAATATAGCACTGTTATAGCACTAATATAGCACTAATATAGAACTGAATATAGCACTAATATAGCATTGAATATGACCAGAGGGTAATACGATAATATATTACCAACTTTGTTTTCTATCCAACTGCTGAGCAGTTGGGGGTATCCCAGTTTTCCCGACAACTGCTAATAAGGGGAATCATGGGGAGATACTGCATGAGTCACATGGAAAATGTGGTAATTTATTTCATGGGATATACCAACTATAATGGTAATATAGCTATTAAATATCATGAAATATAATGGGATATACACATTAAATGGGTTTTGTCTTTCTCCGGATTTTTTTCCAACTTAAATTTGGATGTTTTCGGTGTCTGAAAATGGGGGATTGACACCCTGCTTCATCAAACAATGGGGTACTAACGAACCAGCTAAGGCAGAGATTTTACCTGGATGGAAGCCGTAAAAGTAGATGTTTTCGAGAGATGGTTATATTATGTTATATTAACAAGTTGAACAACAATATTCTTCATCCAAAACTGAATTTGTGAATTGAATATTGTTATATTATGTTATATTTGACGAATTGAATAACCATCTTCTAAATCCAAATGGTATTTAAACACTTCGCGGCCTGATATCTCCATCGCCGTGATCCCGTCCCAGGCACGAGGCAAAGCAAAGAAACCCAACTTCTTCGTGTGCAACGTGGGCCCGACCCTCGGTCATGGTGGGAAATCCCCGAACTTAATGAGCATTGAAATCTATTGAAATCGTAAAATCATCGAAGCAAATGGTGATTCATGTCCATTGCCGTTTGATTTCCATGGATATTTTTTTGTTCGGATAATATTCTCACCAATTACTGTTCATATCAATGGCAAAACATATATAATATTATATCATATCAATTAGGACAATATTATCAATTATGTTTTGTTAGGATGATATCATGGAAATTTTACTGTTGATATCGGTAAAACATCCTGTTCACCAAGGTCAAATCTTGGAGTCGTGCCTGCCGGACATGCAGCCGATAACTCAGCGGTAAGAAAAAAGGGGAGGATGTTCAAAACGAAGCAACCAGATTGAACGTGATACGATGAGATGGAATATACTGTACGTGTATACATATATATATATTATATTTAATATTATTTATTATTAATTATTACTATTAACATATATATATATATTATTAATATATATATATATAATATAATATTATATATATATATGTGAGTGTGTGGGGTTGTGAGAATTGTGTCAGTGACCTCTTTAGCCTGTGAAGAATTGGGCACTGAGGCACACCATGAACACGTTGGTTGACGTTGCCGTCTCAGGGGACATGACGTTTATCCCGGGAAAATCCTGGTTTCAACGCCCTAAAAATGGGGGTTTCAACAGAAAAATGCTGGAAATCCACAGCAAAAAATCTTCAGATGGGCTTGTTTCACCAAGAAAAAGATGAGAATAAAAAGAAATGTGGAGATATCAAACCCTTTCAGATTTGCGGCTTCAGTTGTTTCACTTGTTCTTGATTGATTCCCTAAATTTCGGGCGATGATTCCAATGACCAAGGTGTTTGAGTGGTTTTTCAATCCACCAATAAGCTGTATCCGGTATTCTTTGACTTAGGCAGCCACTAATTCAGTATCCGATTATCCTTTGTAGAAACAATAGCATCTGATTGGTGGTTTGGAACATGAATTTTATGTTTCCATATGTTTGGTTTGGAATATTTGATGGGAAAGATCCACCATTTTTAATGGGTAAATCACCAATAATATTGGGAATGTCATGATCCCAACTGACGAACCATATTTTTCAGAGGGGTAGGTTGAAACCACCAACCAGGCATTCTTGGATTTGACTTGAGGAAACCCAGCATGGGTGTTTGTATATCGCTTGGTGGAGACAACTAATCAGTAGAAATGGCCATGGATCAAAATCCATGACTAATCCATGACTCCCCTAGTTCTGAAATATCAATTTATATAGCTGTAGCTGCCTTGATTTTCTTAGATGTCCATTCATATATATATATACATACATACATACATCTATATATACATATATATATATATATGTGTCCATCTTTTCCTGTGAAAATCATGACATGACCCATCCCCAATCCTCTCCGACTCGCCGGTCTCACAGCAGGTTTGGGACGAGTTTCATGAGCCGAAACTGCCTGGTCTTTGTGCCAACGTGCCTTGAAAAAACATCGCCAGGTGAGCTTGTCAACGTGCGCTGTTGGTAGGTACGCATGTTTTAAAAACCCAGCCTGAACAATGGAAAGTACCATTAATTTGGTAAGAAAGATGGAAAGTACATCAGGAAATTACCAGTATATCAGTGCATCCTTGAGGAATATTGTTTACTCATCCTACACAATAGTGCATCCTCATCTACATATGCTATTAAATAACATAAAATACTGGCAACATTTATCCAATCCCCAGATTGGTTACCCTCTGGTAATTTAACAGTTAGCTATTGAAAATCAGTCGAAATAGTGGATTTACCCATTAATAGCATGGTGGATCTTTCCATAGTTTTTGTATGTTTACCAGGGGGTGTAGAATTATGGACCATTAAATCACCTGATCCTATCAAATAACCACTAAGTAATCATCATTTCGAGAGGGTAAACGTTAAGTTCTCTTCCAAGTCCCCAGATTTTGTGGCTCAGGATCCCAAACAACACCCTGCCTTCGCCATCTTCGCCATATTTTTCGTCGCTGAGGTGGTGATGGTGATTCCCAGCTCAGATCAGGGGCTGGCAAAGGTCGGCTGGTTGAAACATGGCAGTGACAGAATTCTACTCATCATGATATTTGATGGGAAAGATCCACAATGTTTTAATGGGTAAATCAATTATAATACCTGGCCATTTTCAATAGCTATATTTCATATATTTGATGTGTGTCAGAAATTTCTTCTTGATGATATATCCAACCCAGTTTTCCACGATCACCATGCAAGACAATGAAATTTCACATGGAGATGTTTTTTCATGTTTTTTCATGGTATATCTCAATGGATTGGTTTTCCTGGGAAAATCGGAACCGTGAACCATAGGTATTTTCCCATTCAACCAATCCATTGATATATCATGGTAGACCAACAAAACCATGGAGATCAACCTGTCCGTAGGAGATCAACCTGTCCGTTTGGGAGACCGGCAAGGCGTTGTTTTTGCGTTCGGTTGAACGAGATGGGAAGAACCATGGGTTGGGTTGATCCGGTGACAATCTAAGAGATAACTTTGACATATGAGATAACCATGGTTGTTTTGTCCTTAGATTGTCCATTAAACAATCCATGAAACAATCCATAAATCATCATAAATCACAGTATTTTTGTCCGTAGTTGTGCCATGTAAAGAAGCCATAAATCATCAGAATTCAAGGCAAAAATCCTCAGGTTTTCCAGCTGCCAGGATGCCTTCGACTGGTACGTGAAGAGCAAAGGTCATAAGAAAGCCCTGCGCGGATGCCAATCATTGATGCCAATCATTGGTGTTTTCTTTGGGGTTTTATGGTGTTTAAAAAAGGATGGGTGATTCGGGTTTAGTGGAATTTAGTGGAATTTATATAATGGGGTTCAATGGTGATTAATGGGATTTCATGGTGATTTCATGGGATCTGATGGTGTTTTCATGGGATTTAATGGTGTTTTCATGGGATTTGATGGTGATTTCATGGTGACTGTTGGTAGTTACCCTCTGGTAAAGTCACAGTTTGCGAAGTTTTCAGGCTCGCCATGGCTTCCATAAAAACCATCATAATTCCCATGGTTTTTCCCCATAATTCCCCGGGACACCTGGGCAGCTAAGGATGCAGCACACCTCAGGTGTCTTGAGGACCTTCGGCAACCTCTTGGCGTCTTTGGAGCCCAAGGAAGCGATTTCCTATCAGGAGCGATATCAAGGGACGACCTGGGCTGTATCATTTCCCCATCATGTTTCCATTTCTCATCCATTTGTCCATCATTTTTCCATCATGTTTCCATCATTTTCCCATCATTTTCCCCATCATCGTCCCATTTTTTCCATCATTTCCCCATCATTTTCACCATTGTTTGGGGTAAAAAAACCCTGCAATTCCGCCTTCGTTGCCGTTGCCAGGACCGCTGCAGCAGCTGCGCGCGTCCCATCGAGGCATCCCATGGTGAAGTGGCGCCGAACGTCTGCGGCGTCTGCGGACAGCGCGCCTTCCGTGGCCCGGTTCGGATAATGATATGGTTAAGTAGTAATAAGTATGGTTATATACTATGATAATAACCATATGTATATACTATGATATGGTTATATACCTATAATACCTATGGTTAGATATACATATGGTTATATATATACATGGTTATATACCTATCATATGGTTAATATACCTATAATACTATCGTTATATACATATGGTTAACAATCCCATGAACAGTGGTTATTTATGGTTGTGAATGGTTAATGGTCATTTATATCCATAGTTTTACTTAACCATCAATTATAGTTATACTTAACCATAAACCATCAACCATAGAATAGTTAACTTTGTGAATTGATCATGGTTAATGGTTACTATGCTTAGTAAGTTGTTTATATGGCTTATAATATGGCTTATAATATGATAATGCTTGCGAATGGCTATCGGTTGATGCTTTATGGTTAAGTATAACTATGGTTATGAAGTTTAGCTATGGTTAGTAGTCCCATTAACTATAGTTGTGAATGGTTAATGGTTAATGTGGTTAAAACAATCATAAAGCATCCCCCAAATCACCATAAATAGGTGGTATGAACCATTCCCAAACGGATTGTTTATTATTGTTTTAACCACATGAATGGTTAAGTATAACTATGGTTACAACTATGGTTAGTAAGTTATTAATATGGCTTATAACTACTTATAACATGATAATGGTTGTAACTATGGTCAATATGGGTTTGTATTGGTTACAAATATGGTTATATACATGTGGTTAATAGTCCCATTCACGATGGTTAATTATGAGTAGCCATTGTTATTAATTGTTAACTAAATATAATTAAATATGGTTGAATATTGGTTAATAATCATAAAATAACTATAGTAATGCCATTAATTATGGTTACTAATCATGATTAACTATGGTTATCAATGGTTAATAGCCATGGCTCAATATGGCTCATATCTATGGTTATATAATCTAATGATGATGATTGATTCATGGTTATTAATAGTTCTCGGAGCTAAGAACCAACTTAACCAACATGGCAGGAAGGATAATTATAACTATGGTCAATATGGGTTAGTATGGTCATACCTATAATTAAATATGATCAATAATCCCATGAACTATGTTTCCTGATGATGATTAACTTTGGTTATGAATGGGAATAGTGGCTATTAATATTTATACCTATGGTTGTGAATGATACAAGCTATTAATGCTAATAATGATAATGAGAATGGTTGTGTTTGTTAACCATCGTTCATCATAAATGTTAATTCAAAAAAACATGATTAACTATGGTGATAACTATGGGAAAAGTCATGATCAACAATGATTACAACATGTTAAGGAAGTTCATAAGTTTATTTCCCATTAACCAATTACCACGATGATCATTTTCCCCATTCTTTCCCATGTCCTTTCCCAATAATCATCCATCCATCATATGAAAATATCCATCCATGTATCATATTATTGAACCAGAATATCATCATTATATGGGTATGGATCAATACATATTAATACCATTTTTAGGGGAATGAACATCCATTTACCAGCTATTTTGATGTTCACCAGGGGTACAAGGTTTTGACACACTGCCATATCCATAATGGTTAATGCAGGTTAGTAGTGGTTATTAGCTCCGGGAAATGAAGGTCAACTATGGGGGTTTTCATGGGAAAAAATCATGATTCTTGATTATTGAGCGATGATTATTTTTATGGCGGGTTATTAATGGTTATTAATGGTTATTAATGGTTATTAATGGTTATTAATGGTTATTAATGGTTATTACTGGTTATTAATGGTTATTAATGGTTATTAATGGTTATTAATGGTTATTAATGGTTATTAATGGTTATTAATGGTTATTAATGGTTATTAATGGTTATTAATGGTTATTAATGGTTATTAATGGTTATTACTGGTTATTAATGGTTATTAATGGTTATTAATGGTTATTAATGGTTATTACTGGTTATTACTGGTTATTAATGGTTATTACTGGTTATTAATGGTTATTAATGGTTATTAATGGTTATTAATGGTTATTACTGGTTATTAATGGTTATTAATGGTTATTAATGGTTATTACTGGTTATTAATGGTTATTAATGGTTATTACTGGTTATTAATGGTTATTAATGGTTATTAATGGTTATTAATGGTTATTACTGGTTATTAATGGTTATTAATGGTTATTAATGGTTATTAATGGTTATTACTGGTTATTAATGGTTATTAATGGTTATTATGGCATTAACAATGGATACTGGCTATTCTTGGTCACTATGATTGCTAATGGTTCTTCACCATGGCACTGGTGGTCCAGTGGTGCCCCCCTTCCAAGTCCAGTGGTGATGTGAACGTTGCTTTATGACCCCCAACTAGCTCGATATATGTATCGTAAACCTTGGTTGGGGTGAGAAACAATTGGCATAACTATGGAAAAAACACACTTATTGCCATATAACTATAGCTCTAACTATCATAACTTATGGAAATAACTATGGGACGAATAGCTATAAGCCTAATTCGTATGTTCCAATCCAGTCAAGTGACATTATCCCATAAGTCAACTGGATTGTAGAGCATGTTTAACTGTTCTACTGGGTCTGTTTAGTGGGTGATTTCTTCTGTTTTTTTGGGAAATCTACGGGCTGTGGAATCAAAAAGGTTCCCTGCCAGCAAATCCAAGTGGTGGCTTGAGGATTTTTGGATGATGATGATGATGATGATGATGATGATCGTGGTGGTGGTGGTGATGATGATAATGACGCGTTTTCAAACTTGTGACTACACTAGAATTTTGGGAGATGTGCCGTTCAATTTTTGTTGCACGTTTGCGTTTTTTTTGTGATGATGATTTTTGGGAATTGCAGATTTTAGTAGGGTCGGAGGGCTAATGAAAAGTTTGAAAAGCCATGGGTTCACATGGAAATGATCATGCTTAGCAAGTGGTTTCCCATGATTTTCCAGGAAAACCATGGGTTGTTGTGGGTTTTATCACCTAAAGCTGGTGGTTTCCCTGGGATTTCATAGGGTGTCCAGTCACTGTTTCCAAGGCTACAACCTCTTCTGACGCCAAAAGTGCGGAATCCAGCCGACAAAAAGTTGCTGAGCTTTATTTCTATTGAGTCTCTAATCAGCTCAGCTTCAGAGCAACAAAGGCGCCTCTTTGAGTTTTTAAAGGGGCAGCCTTTGTTCCTAGTTTCCAGCTACCTTTGGCATGTTACTGTAATTTGACTAAATTTACATGACTTTGTCATATATTTGCTACCAAAGATTGAATATTGGACTTCACATTTCTATCTTTGTGGGTTTGCTTAATGTAGGATCTTTGCATCTTCAATTTTTGGACGTCCATATTGGGGACTTGAAGCATGAGCATCAGCTGCACTGGCATAGAATCCGCAGCTGTTCAGCCACTTGGCTTAGTGAGATAGACAGAAGAAAAATTAAGACATGTATTGATGATTGTCCTACTGTAGAACTAACCATGACCATCAATAGTGTTATTAATAGTTGAACCATTAATAGTGTTTATTCACCAATCAACTAGTATGCTTTACTCATGTGTATTCACAACGATAGTAACCCCCACAAAAAATAGAAAAGTTAGTCATCACTAATTTGGTGGCATGAGAACTTTCTATCTGTTCGGGGATTTTTTGGTCATTAGAACCTATTCTTCCTCCATTCTGCCGCGGGTTCGCGAACACTTTCCGATGACCTTTTTGCCATCGGATCGTTTCATGGGCGGCCGACCCGGCTATGTCTTCAAGCGTGGAGAGTTGGGAGTAGGCGGCTGGCGCTGAAAGCCATGGGGGCTGGGAACTGAGCATTTGACCCGAAAAAGTAACGTAGCTATTGAAAATAGGGACCATGTATAGATAAATGATTCACCTAGTCATGCCAGTCATGGCCATGTTCATCCATTTTCCATAGTTATGTTGGTTTACTGGGGGTAAGGGCTGATAATATGACATGAGAAAGACCTAAAATGTTCAAATGTCCATGCAAATGTCCATGCAGAAACCCTTCACTTGAGGTTTCGTTGTTGAAAATGTGTTGCAAACCATGGAGATAGCAATATAGAAATAGCAATCGTGTGAAGGCAATCATCTGATATGAGTTGGTACGCCATTTTTAAAAACTGTCATAGAGGAAAATGATGTGTCTGTTTGTTTATGTTGACTAAACCTTGAATTTGTTGATCTAAATGTTGGTTTATCAACAAACATGGTGATTGAACTGGGTGCAGTGGGGATACATTGTAGACATGACCAGCTTATAAAATTGTCTTGCCCAATGTCATTCATATGACCTCACGGGATATTATCAGCGATATGCAGTCCATATTGATCTGCACGTCTGCAGCAGCAGTGTCCCTAAGTTTTTGCTGTTTATGATTTTGGGTTTTATCTGAATGATCTGAAAATGGTGCTATTGAAGTCAAACTTGCCTTTTCCCTAGGAGAAAATGATGAACCCAGAGATTGGGGGGGTGCACGACCAAGCAAGCTTCAATGAAAAACCTAGGAGTTACCCGGTACCCTACTTCGGATGATCCCACCAACTGACATATATTCCGACTCATCACATATTCTGGTGATCTATCTGGTATATGTTTTCACATTTCAAGGCATATGCCAACAGAATTTCATGTGATATTCTGTTGAATGTTTTATCTGTCGTTCTAGCTGACATTTTTTCTGGCATTCTCTCAGACATCTTGAACATGTTGAAACATCCATATCGTTTTGTTTCCATATCAAGTTGGTGATTAAACCATTAGACACTCAGTATGACATCATTCCTGTTGGTGAAATTCCCCTTGTTCGGACAAGATCCATCAACCAGGGTACTACGCTGACGAGTTACGTCAAGTCGTCAAAACTTGGACGTTTGGCCCACATGAAGTGCGTGTGAAAGTGGATGAAAGCTGTGGCTTGTCCTGGTTGGTTTCAGCAAAAGTTTGTTTAATGGGTTGGACATGATCAACAAAGAAAAAAAGTGGTAGAATGGTGGATAATGGCAATTAAATGGTGGTACGAAACTCGTTGTTGATTTCAATCCATATCTAACTTGATAGTTTTCCCCAATGATTTGTAATTCAAATCTTAGAAATGAAGAGATTCTCCCAATTCACTAGTTCATTTTGGGCCCCAGGTGGCCTAACCTGCGCTTGATTTTCTATGAGGTGGCGTTTGCTACACAGGCCTTCGCATTTGGCCGGCGGCAGAGGCCCTTGCGAAATTGCTGGCGGGTGAAGGTGATAGACCGTGGCAACCCAGCGATGCAATGGGTGACTGGGTCCTAAAATGAGGGGATCCCATTTCATCGGTTAACCTATGCTACAATGGTTTGATGACTTGGATGATTTGGGGCTACCCCCCCCCAATTCTAGGAAACCTTAGGAAACCCCAATTTGATCCAATTTGTTTGAAAGTAGGACCTTGTGTTCCCTACGTTTGTAGCTACATCATTGTTGCTCATAGATCTACTCGCTGCAACCACCATCTTCACCACCTACCCTCAGCTTAGTTTCCGCCATCATTGGATGATAAATCTTTGACCGGTTTCTCTAATAGCTTCAACTGACCCCCTCGGAGAAGGTGAAGGCGCCATCATGACCCCATTGTATCTATTTCTATCCCATGATGATAGTGAGAGTGTATCCCATAATGATATAACACCATTTGTCCAATGATAATCAATAGGAAAATCCCAAAAATGGTCAGAAATAAGATATCTCCCCATAGTTTGTCTTTCAAATCCAACATCAATCGTGACAATTTTCCAACACAAATGTTCAATAAATTACCCCAATCCACTTAGAGCTGCGAACATTCAAAAAAAAATGGTGTGTTCCAGGCCATGTTTCATGACAAATCGCTCGGAAAACCCGTGAAAATCCCATGACATTTCAAAACAAACACAAGAACATTTAAAAATCAGTGGAAAAATCCATGAAACACTTCAAAATCTGAAAGTCCAGCTGGTTTCCATATGAAAATCCCTATTTTTGGGGGGTTTCCCCTGACTTTTTCCCCAGGTGACGGTGCCTTCCGCGTCTTGGACCTGGGCGCCGGCTGCGGCCTGGTGGCCGCCGTGGCCTGCCGCGTCTTCGGCGCCGCGGCCACCACGACGGCCGCGGACGGCCCGGCGGCGGTGCGGCGGCGCCTGGCGGAGACGGCGGCGCTGAACGAGCGGCGCTTCGAGGTGAGGAAAATCACCTGGGGAAACTCGGTGGATTTATGGCTGAAATCCATGGGAAATACCCTCTGGATTGACTTTCCATATATCGGGAATAGTAACCCCAACTGACGAACTCATATTTTTCAGAGGGGTTGCAACTTATAGGGTGGAAATGGCTGAAATGGCTGAAATCCATGGGAAATAGCCCTTTAACCCATGGTGAATTGATGGTTCATTGATGGTTAATGAAGCTGATATATGTTGATATGGGATTTACAAATTGAAAATATGTGGTGAATTTATAGTGAACTACTGGTTGGTGCTTTGGAACCATGGAATTTGGATTGACTTTCCAATAATATTGGGAATGGAATGTCATCATCCCAACTCATATTTATCAGAGGGGTTGAAACCACCAACCACATAATGAATATATGGTGAGCACAGTGTCAATGATGGTGATATATGTGGTGAGTGTTGATTTCTTGTGCATTGGAAATGTGTGGTATTTAGATGGGAAATATATGGAAATATATGGTATATGGTTATGTGGTGAGTATATGGGGATATCCCAATAGCTGGATGGTTTATTTCATGGAAAATCTTATTAAAATTGATGATATGGGGGTACATTTTCGCAAAATCTCAATATGGCGATATATGTGGTGAATTGGTGAATTTATAGGTGAATACATGGTAAATGATGGTGAAATCCATGGTAAATACTGTGGATGGAGAAATCTTGAACCTGTTGGTAGGTAAACATCCCCTAATCTTCACACTATCTACAGTCTTACAGTGTTGAATCATGTTACCAAAAGTCACCAACTGGTGCAGAATTTCATCCTTCCATTCGGTGAGTACGTGGTGAATATACGGTGAGATACATCGTAAATGATGGTGATTAATTTGGATGATAGAACCTGGTAGGAACCTATGACTTATGGTGACCAGTGCTGACTTTGTTGGTTGAAACGTGCTGGAAATGATGGGTTTTAGCTGGTGTTATCCCGTTTTGGGTGATGAAACATGTTGATATATATCTTATATGTTGATATAAGCCATAACTTGGTGATTTGTAGGGAGATGTATCACTATTTTACACCATGGTAGGAGTTTCCAAAAGTTTTACGTGCTGATGTTTGATGATTTTTTGGGAACCTCGGCTGGTGAGTCATGGTGATTCTACCGGCAAAATGCATGTTTCTACATGTTTCTATAGCGGCAAGAGCTTTGTTTTTCGGATGATATGTGTGTCACGTTTCTTAGCGATACATCTCCATTGATTGTTATGCTTGTTGGTGAAATCCGCCGAATCCATTTCTAGTCAATAGCTCATGTATTGGTCAAAACAAACAACCCAGGGAGTGTTGTTTCATGAGCTGACAATACTATACCAGCTATTTGGATCTGATCTCCAAGGTGACAACCCACCAATGGACTGTTCTCCAATGGGCCAAAACCTGGAGAACAGTCCAGTGGATGAGCATGGGAACTATGACTTCTATGACCTGATTTTGGGTGCGGACATCACTTATGACTGCAGTTTTCCTATGATCTCCTCCCTGTTGGATCTCATCTCCAGTCTTTCGCATGATGAGACCTGGACGTTGCTGGCGCACGGTGTGCGGAGCGCTGAAAAGGCCATGGATCTCTGGGCCGCGCTGCGGCAGCGCTGGCCAGAAGCCCAACTGCTGCGATCCGACGGCGGCGTCAGCGGCGTCAGCTGTGAGGTGATGGAAGTGATGGAAGGAAGGGAAACGGAGACGCCAGTGATGATTTTTGCCTTGAAGGGTGGTGGAAAGGTGGATGAAGCGATGTACAAAACCATATAAACCATGGATCAAAAGGGATCAAAAGGGATGAAAAGGGATGAAAATGATGGATCTCTCTCCAGCACCCAAAGTTGGTGGCTGGAGTGCTGATTGAAAGTTTGGAAAAGGACAGCGAACAAAGGACGAGGTAATTCCAACGACCCTTTGGGCTTGCAAGTTTTAGTTTATTTAGTATCAATATAAATATATATATATATGTATATCTCTCTCAATTACAATATAGTCATGTTTCATCATTTGGAAATCGTGGGGCATAAAAAACAATCCCATTTAGAAGTGTCGTATGGATTTCGACGGTGCTAGTATTTTCAAGTCACCCATGGCCTGCAAATGAGATGAATCATTGGAACTCTGAAGAAACCTCCTTCGATTAATCTGAGTATCTTAACAATGCTGTTTTTGTATTGGAATAGATCTTCCACTTCGATGGCTTGGCCCGAAACGAATCTATTGCCTACTGCCATGTTGCAGCCATTGTTTGAGTGGTATATTCCAATCGCAGTACATGTCCAGGGGCTGATTTGGGAGCTGAAATGGTGCAATGTCCGCTTGAAATCCTGAAATCTGGTGCTGCTCAAGCGATGGCCTAACAAAATGTGTACAATCGACTCAGACTGGCAGAGGTTTCTCAAAGCTCTCCTCCCGTTTTTTGTTGGGCGCACATCATGCACTTCTTAGCTGGTGCATTCCAATCTGTGTGACGAGACGCCATGGCAAGGCTTTTTCAGGCTGGAAATTGTCCCGTGGATCCGCCATAATTGGGCCAGTCAACCCAGCCATACTATCGAACTATGTTGGGCACTAATTGGCAGCATTGTTGGAGACTCAATTTGCCTGTTGTCTCTGTTTAGGTTGGGCTGGGATGGGAGACCCCAAATTCCACATTTGAAGGTTTGCGTTGGTAAGAAACTATGCATAGGGCTATATAAGATGACGATAGCAGGGCATCATGTTGATACTATCGCCGCTGCCGTGCTTGTGGCTTGTGGTGATCCCAATCTGAAACCAGATACCTTCTCCCAGTGACCCAAAGCGGCCTGGTTCAAAGGGTTTCACTCAGCAAAAATTGGAGTTTCTGAGGCAACACGGACACGAAATGGAGATATTCTCCCCCACTGAACAGAGTGTTTTTAGCAAGATGGGTAACCAACAACCATGTGAGAAGCGGCTGGGGACTGAAGACATTGGCCTCCTGACCAAAACTTCCAGCCTCAACAAGAGGTTTGATCGTGGTCACATATAAAAAGCTCATTAAAAGCTGATGAAATTCACAAAGCGTAGCCAGATTTCAGCTGTCGAAAACGGTTTTACTCGGTTTTACTGCTTTGATTAGCCCTGGCCTTGGCCGCACGTAGCTATGGATCCAAACTTGACTTCGAACAGCAACATCTCCCAACGCTGCCACGTTTTTGAGATTCACATTGAAGGAAAAATATGGAAACATGCTATTATTGCAACTGTTTGTCCCTTGCAAAATCCATAATGTCAACCCCGGATGAATAAACCCGGCTATTTATTGTGGTTGTTATCCCCAAATGCTGATACATGACAATGAAAATTAACAATTGCTCATAACATTTCATGTCCGTATTTCATGTTTCAATTCAGAGCTCTAATCCAAGGTTGTCTCAGACCGGTCACTCGGATCGCTCGCATTCTGGCTTTGAGAGCAGGGCGTTTCGCAAGGACATCCGCCAACATCAACAAATTCTGTTGTTTCCCTGCACAGCACTTTCCCATCAGCTTGGGATGATGAATCCCCAATGACAGAAACTATTGCTAGGACACAAAACTACAAGAACCGGCCATGGGGTGTGGCCTGTCACGTTTTTGGAAAGCAAGGCCGAGAAATGCCGCGGTGAGTGATGAAGAGGTGACCCCTTTGCTGCCAGCGAAGGAAAAGCCACCAGATCGACCAGATCGACCAGATCCATCAGCTCAGGAGGGACCTCCACCAGATCTCCATCCAGTCCTCGGCCATGGCTTCAGGGTGAAGTTCGCTTGTTTCGTTTGTGCTTTGCTTGGGGCAGCCATTGGCTTCGCCATATTGTTGCGAGAACCTCTCAAGCTACAGATCGGGAAAGATTCAGCTGTGCCGCACTGCTTCATTGGGCAGATGTTCATGAACATCCATTGGATGATCATTGCATGTGGTCAGCACTGGATGCAGCTGTTGCTGATTTGTATGCTGGTGCCAGCTCTGTATGTCTTCAAGACGTGCAGTACGCGCGTTGCTGACTGTTTGGTTTTGCGATTCGCACGTCAAGAGCATGTTGAAAGGTTCGTTGCAAAAGCAGAAGTGGCTCTGATGGTTTTGCTTTGGCTCGCCGACATGCTGTCCGATATGTATGTCGCATACACATACTGCAAGCAGAAGCTGTATGTTTTTGCTTTTTTAATGATCCTGATTTGGCTCGGCAGTGGATGCCTAGCTTTTAGCCACCGGTATGTGAGTTGGGAACGATGCGACAGTGAAACCAATCTTGGCTATTTCGCTCAAGGCTTGAATGAACATGGGGAACCCAAGCCTGGCTACAAGACTTTTCTGCTGTACATACTACAGGTCCAACCATTGATCATGGCATTGAATTCCTGGCAGCATGGGATGACTCGTCGCTTGCAAGAGGAAAAGATGGTGGCTGCGTTGACCGAGGCTGCACCGTCGAGCTTGCTGCAATTGTATGCCCTGCGGTTGGATCCGCCCAAAGAAAACTCCTTGGATTTGCAACTTTTGTGGGGGTCAATTGCGCTGTCCATCCTGACTGTTGCTATGGGAATCAACAAAGCCTATGAACTATGTGTTCCTGAGAGCTGCAAAATGGAGAAACACGTCTTGCCAGCAGGCGTCTTGGTTTGGTTCAGGTGGTGCGACACATTCTCGCGCATTGGTGTTTGGGCGCTGCTGGGCATATGTCTTCGGCCGATCGGTGCCAAACGGCATGGCATACAACAGCCATACTTGCCTGTGATACTGGCAGCAGAACTGCTGTTGATCGCCATGGTTTTCAAATCCCAAAGCTTTGGCTTAAACCTGGCTTGGTCTCAGTTCCTCAAGAAGGAAAATTTTGTGGGTGTCATCAGCGGCTTCCTCAGCGTTTACTGGTGCTGCAATACGGCAGATTTGGTGGTGCAACACAAGCTCTTCAGATCCTTGCTGGGACTTCGGCTCCTCCAAACCTTGGGAATTTTGTGGCTATGTACCTTGATCTATTCTGCTTCAGTCGGAAGTCACTGCCTTGTGGCTGAACAGCCAGCTGTGGTGATCGTCGCTCTGTTGGTGCTGCTCACATTTGCCTTGACATTCTTCACAGCACTGGCGCACGACGTCGCCATGTCGTTTTTTGCTTTGCCCTTCTTCCCCGTCATAGCAGGCAACCGGGGTGGACGTTTGGAGCTGGCGGCGCGGTTCGGTGTGGCGTCGCAGATTCCACGCTTGCTACAGGCAGCAGAGCCAGACGATGATGGCGTGGCGGCGCTGTGCCAAGCTGCTGAGGCCGGGCAGGTCGCAGCGATCCACGCGTTGGTCGGTGCAGGAATTCCCCCCGCCGCTGAATGGAATGGAGCAACAGCACTGCATTGGGCTGCGGGGGGAGGCCACATCAGTGCCATCCAAGCATTGCAATTGCACGGGGGCACCGAGTTGGGAAGAGCAGACAAGAGTTTGTGTGCTCCAGTGTTCTATGCAGCAGGATCGGGCCATTTGGAAATGGTGAGATTTCTCCATCACTCGGGATGCAGCCTGGAAGGCAGCCTGGAAGGCTCAGCCGAACATCAATCTCGTCCAGCTGTAGTGAATGCAGCGGCGTGTGGCCATTTGAATGTGGTGCAATTCTTGCGCGACTCCGGATGCAGCATGGAAACATTTGACTGCGATGGAATCACTCCTCTTGCCAGCGCCGCGGCCAATGGTCACTTGGAGATCGTGAGATTTCTACACGATTCAGGGTGCAGCATGGAAACACCCGATTTGGATGGATGGACTGCAGCTATCCTTGCCGCCCAAAGCGGCCATGCAGACGTGGTAAAATTTCTACACGAGTCAGCATGCAACTTGGCAACAGCAAACAACAGTGGATGCACCCCTATGACTCAGGCAGCCCAAAATGGCCACTTGGATGTCGTGAAATACCTCCACTGTGTGAGGTGCAGCTTGGAAACTCCAAGCCAGAATGCTGTCCAAGCTGCGGCCCAAAACGGTCATGTTGAGGTGCTGATGTTTTTCCTTCAGTCCGGATGCCTCGAAAAAGCAAGCAAATCTGAAGCCAACGCTATCCTGCAAGCAGCCCACTTTGGCCGACTAGATGTCCTGAAATCTCTCCACAAGTCCGGGTGCAGCTTGGAAAAGGCGAAGGATGATGGAGTGGCTGTCGCTGTTGAAAACGGCGATGTGGAGATGGTGAGATTTTTCCATACTTCAGGATGCGACATCGGGGTGCACAGCTTGCATGTGGCAGTAGCCGAAGGTCATTTGAAGGTTGTGGAGTTTCTTCTTGGGGTTGTGGATGTGAATGCTGCTGGCATCGGACATGTTCACGCCCTAGACATTGCGAGGGCAAACGATCCCAACAGCCCTGTGACCAAGGCTTTGCTGCGTGCAGGTGCCAGCCCTGGACCGGAGCCCCAGCTGGTTGGGCTCTCTGCTTTGAAACCAAGCAAAGCACCACCACATGGCAACATTTGGTTCACCTGCGGCACGCCGAAGTTGGCCCGGAGCCGAGGCAAGTTTTATCATGAAATCCAGATCTTGAGCGAGTTCGACTGCCCTCAGCTGGGTTGGCTCAGTACAGATTTCGAGGGTGGAGATGATGACGATGGTAAAGGCGTCGGAGATGATGCAAATGGCTGGGCCTTTGATGGCCAACGATGTTGCTGGTGGCACGGTAGCGCTTCGGAGCCATTGCAAATTGCACAGTGGAACGTCACCGAAGTCCTCGGGTTTGCCGCAGACCTGGACAAGGGGTGGATGCAGCTGCGCACGGACAATGAGCAACAAGATGTGTTTATGCGGTTCGAAGCCAATGGAGCAGTGTACCTGGTCAAAGTTTAATGGAGCATTTCCTTCTTTCGTCATTGTTTTGCCATCACCCATGGCAGGCTTTTCAAAATGCAAAATCCGGCGTTGCATATCAAATTATAAAGTTTAACTGTTTAACTTTTTCCGCTTGTCATGTGGGAAGCTCTAGGCTAGAGTTTATGTCGGTCACGGGTCATTGTTGGATCAATGTCAACGCATGTGTCCGAAGACATGTCAGGCTATGCATCGGGATGACAGTCAACGTTTTTGCAAGAATTTATGGGGTTAGATGTCATATTTTAAAATTTCGATGTGAAACGTCAGAAGTCAGAAGCATTGTTAGATGAGATGTCGGGCTAGGTGCCAAAATTTAGGTCAAGATAAATGTCAACCATTTAATATGTTATTTAATATGCGTCAGCATTTTTGTCAGATAATTTTGGTGAGGTCAACGTTCTTTGGGGTAAAACCACCAGGTACCCTGCAGCAAGCATCCGCGGCTTGTTTCGGATGCATTTGGCGAAGCAGAGCTGGAAGCTCCAGCCACCTGAGGGATACAAGGAATGGAGCCGTGGAGAGTTCGCATGGAGCGATTGAGATTGCGAGCATACCGACCGTGTGTCGAATGGTTTTAAAATGTTTTAAACAACTGTTCTGCCATGTTGACCTGACTCTGACAAAATTGGCGCAGCGTGTTGCCATGCATCCGACTGTCCATGTAGCAACGCCGATGCCGTGTGCCATCAACGCGCTCCCTTTTCCCGCGTGGCATGGCACGCTTTCGCCAAGCACAATGAAGAATTATCGATTGAAGGGTCAGCTAAGGAGTGATCACACGCCAACAGCTAGTTTTGAAGCTCAAAAAAATGGTGTTGCCACCTTTACGTCCCCCCCAAACAAAGACTTTTGATGCAATTAGGCTAAGAGCTGACGTGATTTTTGCTGCTATGTCTGACGTGCACCCCCTGCATCCCACGCCAATCAGTTTGAAATTCGTTGCTGTGCCAGGGAAACCCGAATGAAAAAGTTACAATGGCTTGGTGAACCGTTGCCTTCCAGGACGGGTTTGGTGGAGCGGTTTTACGGGTGACATTGGGGGGCCTTCATCAGCTGTGACAAGTCTGCAGTGTGGCTATGTGGTGTTCAATTTGGATATGGTGGCATTTCCATTGTGCTTTTGTCAGGTATTATGAACCACACATTGGTGCGAATCTTTGCGCTTGCGCACATTGTGGATTGCGCACCATTGTTTTAGAGTGAGTGTGTGTGTGTGTGAGTGTCCTTGTGCATTTGCTCTCATTGCGGGCTATGTCGCTATTCTGTTTCATTTTGCACGTCCACGTCCATGATTTTTGTTCGGGGCCTCCGGTGCCCACGGCCCATGCCCGGAGGCAGTGAAGGTCTTGCAGGCCATTGCAAGCTCTTGGAGATCACTTGGAGGTCCAAATTGAGCCAAAAAAGGGCTGGGGCAGTCATTGCAAATCCCTCTGCCAGTCGATCTGTGGTGTCCCCAGCAATGTCCGTTTACTCGAGAATGGCTTAAGAATGATTCAAGTCCAGAAAATCATAGACATGATGTGATATGATCATTTCAATGTCCTCTTACTTCTCATGCATAAATAAGCGTTAGAAAATCTTATGCACAAACCTTAAATGAAACTGAATAAACCCCAAACTAACCCTATGTTAACCCCAGTTGCAAACTAATGACCCTGCAACATAATAATTTTGAGCGCCAAAGTGTTGCAAATATGATTGTGGAAAATGAGAGGTTCGAACTCCAAAATGTTGCAAGTACCGTTGAAATGGCAGCTTCCAGCTCCAAAATGCTGCAAATAACAAGGAAAACGGACAGAACAGGAAGTCAAAAAAAACAAAATTGAAGAAAAAAAAGACACCCCAAACAATTCCGGATCCTTTTTTCTGCCACAAGGAGTTCAGAAAAGCCTTGAAGCCTGCAGAAGTTGTGGTTTTCGAAAATTTGTTTTGTTTTTTAAACGAACGAATCAAGACAAACCCACCTTAGGAGAAGAATCGGAGGACCTTTTGCATCGACTCAACACAGGGCGTTTGCAAATCCAGCAGGGCCAGTTTCAGAATTTGTGATCAGCCGGCCGTGGCCAAGAAGATGCAAGCACTGCAAGTTTGGTTGATCCTGAACGGATTACTGTGCTCACAGAAATCATGCTAGCCAAATGTTCATGACATAGTTGCGCCAAATGCTTGCTGAACTGGATTCCCTCTTTTACGCCACGACACGCTGAGAGAACAGGGGGCGACCAGCTTGGCCCCGATTGATTGGCGGCTGCAACAAAGGCGTGGAATGGCACCGGGGACACCCTCTGGGACAGACAGGTGTAAAGACTTGGACAATTTTATGATTTCCCCTGTCCGCCCATGTATCTTTTTAGATATACATCTCGTTCAGAAATGAAACATTTTTGCAACAGCATTTTCATGCCGTCGTCACACACTTCAATCTCGCTAAGTTTTTTCAAGTTTAACTAACAAAGAATTTCTTCCTACATCAGTAAGCTAGCTTGATGACCCCATGACTGATGTCTACATGATGTCTACATATGTCTACAAGATTGGCAGCTCAACCACCAACCCATCAAGTTGATGACCCAATTTCAAGGCCGATTCTTGAGACATCGTGGGACCAAGGGCTGAAGGAAAGAACAGAACACCTCAGGTGCCGCAAAAATCGAAGCCGTTTTGGCCGAAAAAGCCACGGTCGTCAAGCTGCGGGACGGCGGGACCCGCGTGATGCGGTTGGGGTCCACAACGAAGCAACTGCGCAGCATTGAAGTGCTGGGAACCGGGACCCTGCAGTGATTTGTTCTGGTAAACCAAGAACAATGGAAATGGACGACTTTTGAGTTGTGGGTGAAATGGTTCCATGCAGTCATGTAGATGGTGAGTTTTCCATTGCCATGTTAGATTGCAGCGAAGTATATGTATGTGCTGTCTCTATATATATAATTATATATATATATATACGTATATATAATCCATGTGTGTATGCACTAGCCATAAAGAAGAACCCTAGCTGTGGAGGTACTAGCCAAGATCATTAGTCACCCAGTATTTGGGATGAACACCCAAACACTTTTCATTGATTGAAATTGTCAGTTTCCACCTTTCCAGGTTCAATTTTATTCCTCCACGTATTTCAGAATATGTGGGTTTGTCGGTTACGCCAAATGTTGATATGATGGTTAATCATTAGTTTCCCCATTCAAACTGCCATGTGCTGGGTATATTCCGTTGTCAGGCACGCCCAGGTTAGATGTGGTTAGTGAACTATATCTCGTTCTATCCCCATATTCCCCGTGAAATCCCCATGTTCAATGGACTTTTAGACCCGCGACAGGAAATGGGCTTATAGCTTCGGAGACGGACAGGCCGATGGGAGAGCTGACATGAAGCATTTGTTGCTTGGAGACCCGAAGCCGATGGCACCTGGTTGGCTAAGAAAGGTACGCAGGCGTGATGCCACTAGGATTTTTAAACCCATGATGTCACTAGGATTCTGAAGCCCTCGATGTTTTATGTATGTGTTTTTTATCGGGTGAGACCTATGTGTCGAAAAAATTGTTGCTATTTTGTGGTTCTGGAAGCAGTGGTTCTTTTATTTGCACTTGGAATCAGATGGTATTGAGCGGTCTACGCCAAAGCCATTGGTTAATCATCAGTGTAGCCACTGGGCTACTTTAGGTGCATGCCCCGTCTTCAGACATGCATATCTGGATATGGTTGAGCCAAGCTACCGGCGGTGGCACAAAGATACCTTCGGCTCTGAACCAAACAGCCAACCAGAAAATGGTCTGATTTGTTTGGACGTTCTCCCGCAGCTTGTGATGGGAGTCATTCTTGGGACGAATCCTGATACTGATTAAAAAGTGTTTGCACATGAACCAACAAAGCAATATCATATACCCGCCATGAAGCCATGCGATCCCAAAGCGTCATCAGCCACCAGGTTGGGCGGCAAAGGTGCCAATTTGGCGGAGATGGCATCCATCGGTCTACCGGTGCCTGCAGGTTTCACCTTGACCACCGAGCTGTGCACTTGCACCTCGATCCGCCAAAGGGTCATGATGGAGGAGGTTGGAATGGTTGCGAGCTGGTGATAGATGATGTTGGATGATTGGTCCCGGCCGAAATGCTGATGCGGATAGTCGACCTGGTATTTTCGCGAGAGTGTGCCAGTACATCCAAAATCATCCAAGTACAACATGCTGGGAAAACATGATCGCCATTCCAAAATATGTCCGGCCCCTAAAGCCACCCTGCATTCGATATTTTCCTTCGCACGCAAGCGAAAGACACATGGTGACCAGCACCACTCCCATTTGGCCGTGCTAAGATTTCTACGAGAACAATGGCAGCTACCCTCCCGAACTGAGGAAACAGGCAGGGCGTTCGTTAGCCTTGAGTTCTTGGAAATCGGCGCAGAACTAGCCTTGATAGAAATCATGGTTGGTAATTTTGCTTGCTTAGTTTAGATGCATTGTATGTCTGTCATCGACTTGAAATCCATCCTCACATGTCGTGGTAAAACATTGACTTTTGCAGACTTGAGTGACAAACATATGTTGTCACATAAAAAGTCAGATATTCAAATTTTGTGAGCCTGCAACAGACACAGGGAGATACTTTGTTTTGCGGGTAAAGAATCAACAATGTTCATTAACCGTATGTTCCATTCTTAGAAAAGGTGTTATGTTCAGATGCCCTGCTTGCCCTCTCTTCACAACGGTACCCGGAAGACCTGATTCCAAGCCATGTTTTTAGATCCCAAACCAAACAGCTCTGGATCATGTTCCAGGTGCCCCAATGCTTCCTTATCGGCCCAACATGATCAAACGTGGTTGAAATTTAATGTTAGGTTTATTGATTGTAAGGCCTGGGCATGGCAAGGAGGCTCTCTGGACCTTCATCTCTCCAGTTTTTGCTGCTGCAACTAACCACTAGGCTGATTCTTGACTTCCATCAAATACGAGGCCCACGAATTTTCCAATCATGACTAAAGCCACTCAACCCTCCATGTCTTTTACCATCTGATGCCCTTTTTGTTCAACCTGAAATTCCACTGGTTGTTGCCAGCCATTGTTTCTGAAATTTTGTCGAAACCCCAGCAGATCCACTCGAACGCAATGATTCCTCCCATTGTTTGCGGTGTGTATTTGGTAAAGTCCAAATTTCTATTGACTCATATTCCCAGTTGTTCAGCTGATCATTCAAATCCCCAATTTATCGATTAGTAAGGTTACCACTTTTTGCCTTCTTGATCCGAAAATCACACACATTTTTGAGGAGTAAGACTTAAGATGACCATTTTCCCAGATTTCTCACCCACCCATCAGCAGGCCGAGTCAGCCTTAGCCTTTGTCGAGTCGCGTAGCGGTCGTCGTTTCGGCGACGCGCGGAAGCCGCTGCTGCTGGCCGTGCGCTCCGGGGCGCGGGCGTCGATGCCGGGGATGATGGATACCGTGCTCAACCTGGGGCTCAACGAAACTTGGAAAGCTGGGGAAGCTAGGGTAAACTTGGTAAACTGTTGAAGTTGGGAAGTAAGATGAAGTAAGGGTAGAATTTTTTGTTTACAATATTGCACAAGAATCTATAGGCTGTTCCCCGAACAGTGTGTCTACACTGAGGGGTGCACGGTGAGAGTTAAGGCCGTTTAAGGCCGGTGCTTGATCAGGGTGCTCCATCTGGCTTCCGTGCCCATGTGAATTTCGACTGCGGCTTTGGGTGGCGGCGTTTCTCCCGAGAATTCTCACGTAAAATGGCTCTTGTGATATGTCCATGTCCATTTCGACTGCGCAGGCTCGTGCAAAGTGTGGGCCGTGGTCTTCTCATGGTCTTGGGCGGCGGCGTTTTTCCAGAGAATTTTCGCATAGAATGGCTCTTGTGATATGTCCACATGTCCATTTGGACCGCGCAGGCTCGCACAAAGTGTGGGCCGCAGTCTCCCCATCCTGTTTTTTGTTTCACATATTAGATTTGCTTCTGTATCCCTTAATTTCGCATCTTGAATGTCAGCAGGTCCACAAGTTGTTCCCGCATGAACCCTTTCCCCACACTGTTTGGGGTCTCTTGCCGGTGTTTTTTTTTTTATATTGTTTATCATAACCCAGAAAATGGAGAAATAACTTTTTGACAATAATTGGGAATTTGGTTGGTGAATTCATTGTAAGGTTTCGCGATGGCAATTTGAATTTGTAATGGTTTAGCCAATTTTTGCTGGTAAACTACCCATTGCAACATGTTACATTCCCCCTTTCGGGAAGTGGCGCAGGATATCTAATTTTGTTTCTAGCTGTGAAAAATCATGGTTAGCATAGGTTTTTGCGATTTTCCCCAACAAACCAACGCATTGAAACCGTCAAAGCCATATGTACATGTTATGATTGCGTTTTAGTTGACATTGTCTGGCTTATTTAACCATGCTCAATCATTCTCACATGTTAAATAAGCCCCTTCAGCCTACAATCGACCATTCCATAAATGGATACCGTACCCTCAACTTTAGTGGTAGAACACATTGTTTCCCTTAATTTCCCCCAACAAACCAAGCATGATGGTTAACCCCATCATCCCCCTCAATTTTGGTAGTAGAGAAACATTTACCATAGTTTCCTCTAAACCAATAGCATCCCGTTAGTTAACATTACTGCGTTTTTTAACATGACCACACTTGGTGAATTAACACTACTTATCTCCATTGTTTGATTTGTTTGTTGGTCAAGTACCATCAATATACATTTATTCGCCATTCTATACAACGCGGCGCCCCTCCAGTTACAAACTGGTTTGCAAACTAGTTTGATGTATCTATCATAAGTCCTACTTATTGACTAAACCAGTAGCTACCTTTAAAAAGTTATCAAAGGAAGTTGGGAAGCAATACTTCCGTGTTACGGACAAATAGAATTCTGAGACTTGAAATGATGAAGGGCGGTAGATCGTATATGAATACATAACATAACAATACATAACAAAAGAATAAGGGTGCATACAATGACGGGGTGGTGACGAAGGGAAGTGGTGACGAAGGGAAGTGGTGAAGAAGGGAAGTGGTGACGAAGGGAAGTGGTGACGAAGGGAAGCGGTGACGAAGGGAAGTGGTGACGAAGGGAAGTGGTGACGAACGGAAGTGGTGACGAAGGGAAGTGGTGACGAAGGGAAGCGGTGACGAAGGGAAGTGGTGACGAAGGGAAGTGGTGACGATGGGAAGTGGTGACGATGGGAAGCGGTGAGGAAGGGAGGTGGGGACGAAGGGAAGTGGTGAGGAAGGGAAGTAGTGAGGAAGGGAAGTGGTGATGACGGGAGGCGGTGACGATGGGAAGTGGTGACGATGGGAAGTGGTGACGATGGGAAGTGGTGAGGAAGGGAAGGGGTGAGTTGGGGAGGAAGCCGGAGCACGAAACCTTGTGTTTTTCCGTGTAAAGTGGCTGCAGCCGGCGATGAAAGGTACCTCGTCTGTGCGACGGGTGCGGCTGCGGTCGTTTTGTGCGCGAATTGTTCCTCCTATGTGTTTTGCAACGAGTCGTTGTGTCTGTGTGCGTAGTTCTATTCGGTTCTTGAATCTCTGGTTGCAAATTGCATTGGAATGGCTGCATGAATGTTGCATGGGCTATGTTTTGGGGAGGAAGCCGGAGCACGTAACCTTGCGTTTTTCTGTGTAAAGTGGCTGCAGCCGGCGATGAAAGGTACCTCGTTTGTGCGACGGGTGCGGCTGCGGTCGTTTTGTGCGCGAATTGTTCCTCCTATGTGTTTTGCAACGAGGGGTTGTGTCTGTGTGCGTAGTTCTATGCGGTTCTTGAATCTCTGGTTGCAGATTGCATTGGAATGGCTGCTTCATTGTCGTCATTTGATGTTGCCACGTGCGTAGATAGGTGCGGGTTTGCCACGGGATGTTGCGAAACGCATTGTAATGGCTGCATGCATGTTGCATAGGCTCTGTTTTGGGGAGGAAGCCGGAGCACCAAACCTTGCGTTTTTCCGTGTAAAGTGGCTGCAGGCGACGATGAAAGGTACCTCGTGTGTGCGACGGGTGCGGCTGCGGTCGTTTTGTGCGCGAATTGTTCCTCCTATGTGTTTTGCAACGAGTGGTTGTGTCTGTGTGCGTAGTTCTATGTGGTTCTTGAATCTCTGGTTGCAGATTGCATTGGAATGGCTGCTTCATTGTCGTCATTTGATGTTGCCACGTGCGTAGATAGGTGCGGGTTTGCCACGGGATGTTGCGAAACGCATTGTAATGGCTGCATGAATGTTGCATGGGCTATGTTTTGGGGAGGAAGCCGGAGCACCAAACCTTGCGTTTTTCGTGTAAAGTGGCAGCAGCCGACGATGAAAGGTACCTCGTCTGTGCGACGGGTGCGGCTGCGGTCGTTTTGTGCGCGAATTGTTCCTCCTATGTGTTTTGCAACGAGTGGTTGTGTCTGTGTGCGTAGTTCTATGCGAAGAGTGAATCTCTGGTTGCAGATTGCATTGGAATGGCTGCTTCATTGTCGTCATTTGATGTTGCCACGTGCGTAGATAGGTGCGGGTTTGCCACGGGATGCTGCGAAACGCATTGTAATGGCTGCATGAATGTTGCATGGGCTATGTTTTGGGGAGGAAGCCGGAGCACGAAACCTTGTGTTTTTCCGTGTAAAGTGGCTGCAGCCGGCGATGAAAGGTACTTCGTCTGTGCGGCGGTTGCGGCTGGGGTCGTTGCATGCGCGAAGTGTTCCTCCTATGTGTTTTGCAACGAGTGGTTGTTCCTGTGTGCGTAGTTCTTTGCGGTTCTTGAAGGTCTGGTGGCAGATCGCATTGGAATGGCTGCTTCATTGTCGTCATTTGATGTTGCCACATTGTCGTCATTTGATGTTGCCACGTGCGTAGATAGGTTCAGGTTTGCTACGGGATGCTGCGAAACGCATTGTAGTGGCTGCGTCAAGGTTGCTCGGTGCAGCGGCTGCATGCGTAATACTATTGTCTTTTGCAGCTGAAGATCGTAAATCGTATTGGAATGGCTGCATCAAGGCTGCGGCAGCTGAAGATCGTAAATCGTATTGGAATGGTTGCATCAAAGCTGCGTTGAAAGTGAATTGTCAGCAGATTTTCTCAATTTTGGCGCTAATAATTTTCCTTTTAAAATTCCTTTTAAAAAGTGCTTCAAAATCGTCTTTTTGTCGCTTTGGCGTCGAGATACGGTTTTGGAGCTGCAATTTCCGACGCCATTGCACGTAGTTCTATTGTGTTTTGCAACTCAGTCTCTGCAGATCGCATTGTAGTGGCTGCGTTAAGGTTGCTTGGTGCAGCGGCTGCATGCGTAATACTATTGTCTTTTGCAGCTGAAGATCGTAAATCGTATTGGAGTGGCTGCATCCAGGTTGCGATAGTGATTTGTTAGCAGATTTTTTCAACTTTGGCGATAAGAATTTTCTTTTTAAATTTCCTTCTAAAAAGTGAGTCAACATTGTCTTTTTGTCGCTTGGCGTCGAGATCCGGTTTTGGAGCTGCAATTTCCGACGCCATTGCACGTAGTTCTATTGTGTTTTGCAACTCAGTCTCTGCAGATCGCATGGTAGTGGCTGCGTCAAGGTTGCTTGGTGCAGCGGCTGCATGCGTAATACTATTGTCTTTTGCAGCTGAACATCGTAAATCGTATTGGAATGGCTGCATCAAGGCTGCGAAAGTGATTTGTCAGCAGATTTTCTCAATTTTGGCGCTAATAATTTTCCTTTTAAAATTCATTTTAAAAAGTGCTTCAAAATCGTCTTTTTGTCGCTTTGGCGTCGAGATCCGGTTTTGGAGCTGCAATTTCCGACGCCATTGCACGTAGTTCTATTGTGTTTTGCAACTCCGTCTCTGCAGATCGCATTGTAGTGGCTGCGTCAAGGTTGCTTGGTGCAGCGGCTGCATGCGTAATACTATTGTCTTTTGCAGCTGAAGATCGTAAATCGTATTGGAATGGCTGCATCAAGGCTGCGAAAGTGATTTGTCAGCAGATTTTCTCAATTTTGGCGCTAACAATTTTCCTTTTAAAATTCCTTTTAAAAAGTGCTTCAAAATCGTCTTTTTGTCGCTGTGGCGTCGAGATCCAGTTTTGGAGCTGCAATTCCTGTTGTGATTATGTACAAGAAAGCTTCTCTGTGCAAAAACTTTTTCTGTAAAAGCTTGCTGTGTGTAAAAGCGTCTCTGTGTAAAAGTTTCTGTGTGTGTAAACGCTTGCCATGTGTAAAAGCACTGTGCGTAAGTGTTCTGTGTGTAAACGCTTGCTGTGTGTGAAAGCTTGCTGTGTGTGTAAAAGCTTGTTGTGTGTAAACGCTTTTCTGTTTAAAAAGCTTGCTGTGTGTGTAAACGCTTGCCATGTGTAAAAGCACTGTGCGTAAGTGTTCTGTGTGTAAACGCCCGCTGTGTGTGAAAGCTTGCTGTGTAAAGCTTCTCTGTGTAAAAGCTTGTTGTGTGTAAAAGCTTCTCTGTTTAAAAAGCTTGCTGTGTGTGTAAACGCTTGCCATGTGTAAAAGCACTGTGTGTAAGTGTTCTGTGTGTAAACGCTTGCTGTGTGTGAAAGCTTGCTGTGTGAAAAAGATTTTGTGTGTAAAAGCTTGCTGTGTGTAAAAGCTTCTCTGTGTATAAAAGCGTCTCTGTGCAAAAGTTTCTGTGTGTAAACGCTTGCCATGTGTAAAAGCACTGTGTGTAAGTGTTCTGTGTGTAAACGCTTGCTGTGTGTGAAAGCTTCTCTGTGAAGAAGCTTGTTGTGTGTAAAAGAATCTGTGTGTAAAAGCTTCTCTGCTTGAAAAGCTTGCTGTGTGTAAAAGCTTCTCTGCGAAAGAACTTGATGTGTGTAGAAGCTTTGTAGTACAAAGTAGTACTGGAACGTGTTTTGTGCAAGCTTTGTAGTACAAAGTAGTACTGGGAAGTAGTTTGTGCAAGCTTTGTAGTACAAAGTAGTACTGGGGAGTGCTTTGTGCAAGCTTTGTAGTGCAAAGTAGTACTGGGAAGTAGTTTGTGCAAGCTTTGTAGTACAAAGTAGTACTGGGAAGTAGTTTGTGCAAGCTTTGTAGTACAAAGTAGTACTGGGGAGTGTTTTGTGCAAGCTATGTAGTACAAAGTAGTACTGGGAAGTGGTTTTTGCAAGCTCTTGTATTAGACATCAGTACTGGGAAGTACTTGACATAAAAATAGCCAAGAAGAACTTAGCTGACATATGGGAAGGCATGGGATGAGATGAGAAGAGCTCAGATGAGATGAGTTGAGACGAAGTGCAAGTGTGAAGTGTGGAGTGTGGGGTGTGAAGAGTGCAATGTGAAGTGTGAGGAAAGTGTTTGCATTGTACCGGGGACGCGTGCAGGTCATGTTCTTGGACAACAACATTGCAACAGCTTCGCACAAAGCACGCACGCACAGGCCTGGCTGGCGCACTGCGCATGCAAGTTCCTTTCTAGTAGTATTGGGAAGTCATTCATGAAAGCTTAGATGACATATGAGAAGAGATGAGATGAGAAGAGCTGAGCTGGGATAAGGTGCGAAGAGCTCAGATGAGATGAAGTGTGGGGTGTGAAGAGTGTAGTGTGAAGTGTGAAGTGTGAAGTTTGGAGTGTGAAGGAAGCAGTGAGAAGTGAGAAGTGTGAAGTGTGGACTGTGAAGTGTGAAGTTTGGAGTGCGAAGAGTGCAGTGTGAAGTGTGAAGTGTGGAGTGTGAAGTGTGAAGTGTGAAGTGTGGAGTCTTAAGAGTACAGTGTGAAGTGAAGTGTTGACTGCGAAGGGTGCAGTGTGAAGAGTGCAGTGTGAAGGGTGGAGTGTGAAGTGTGCAGTGTGGAGCGTGAAGACTGCAGTGAGAAGTGCGAAGTGCGAAGTGCGAAGTGGAGCTTCACATGTGACATGTGAAACAAGACACCACTTTCGCAGAGTGCACGCAAGCACGGGCTTGGCTGGCGCACGGCGCATGCAAGTTCTATAGATGAGAAAGGTCTTATATATATCTTTAAGGCAACTTCCGCCCCGCCTCGTGCGGGTACTACTGGTAACATGTTATAACCCCCATGAAATCCCAATTTTTCATGATGAAATCATATAAAATCACCATTTTCCCATGGTTGCGTTGACACCTTGGTACCCACCCAGCCCAGCCCAGCCACCCAGGACCAGACCGTCGAGGCCTTGGCGCAGGAAACGGGCGACCGACGTTTCGCCTTCGACAGCTACCGTCGCTTCGTGCAGACCTACACCGTGACGGTGCTGACAAAGCGCCCGGAGCTGCGGCGGCGCTTCGAAAAAGTCATGGAACGCGCCAAGCAACGACGGGAGGCGGGAGATGGATGGGAAAATGGATGGAAAATGGATGGAAAACGGGGAAAATCTGTGGGTTTCGTATGGACATTTATGGAAAACATCTCATTAATAAAATTGCAGAGACTAGCGCTTGCACTTTTAGATAAATCTCAACTGTGCGGCATTCTCTCTGCGTTGCTGGGGTTGCCACTCCTGCCATCAACATCAAAGGTGACAGATGACCACGAGTTGCTTCCAGAAGATTTAGAGCAGTTGGTTTCTGACTACAAAACGGCAGTGCACTTGGAACTGGGCGTCCCCTTCCCTGAAGATCCTGAAGAGCAACTGTGGGGAGCCATCGGTTTCCTGCCTGTTGTGGGATGGGGAGGGTCAATGTGGGGACCACAGATGGCCGGTGCTTTTTCAGGAGAAATTCTCCAACTCTCGTAAAATGACCAGACCAAAACTCACCCACCGCAGGGGTTGAATCATTCCAAGGCCGATCAGCAATGGCCAAAAAAGTCGCCCTCATGTGTGCTAGCTTTTGCACATATCAAAGAGTCATTTGTCCCATCAACTGTTTGATAACTCCCCATTTTTATCTGGTAAGTATCGAACTTGTTGATCATCAGTTGATTTTTTATGTGACGTTCGTTGGACTATACCCCCAAATCACCATATGTCATTATCCCTTATGTTGTGTCCCAGACTTGGTTTAAAGAGAAATTACAACATTTTTTGTATTTCCTGGCAAGAGTGTGGAAAATCAACGGCGCCTGCATTACAATGTTAATTTCCTGTTTATTAGCTAAAAAAGACGGTGCATCCACATGATAAGTATCCACCCATATTCTCCCCAGAATGATAACAATGATAAACGGATAACCGATATCCGAGATTTGTCTTTATTCCCATATTGTTGGTTACATCCCCAATATTGGATGAGAACGGTAGCGGCTCATATCCCCCAAAATCGGCTCATCATCCCTCAATTTTGTCTATTTCTTCATTCTCAAAATATTGGAGTTCCTTATAGTATTCTTCTGTTATCCCTAGGCCCTAGGTATACAATCAATCTGATTGGAAATTTTGAATCAATTTGATTGATAGGCCCTGGTGGTATCTATGGTGTTTTATGAGCTTCCCACTAATAGAAGTTGGTGAACCACATCCCATTCCTCATCTTGGATGATTTATGATCCCCGCAAATCCCGAAAGATCATCTCCCAAGGTTGGGTCATTTGATTAATTTTATACGTTACCCTCTGGTAATTTAATTTAACATAACTATGGAAAATCACCATTTATCAAAGGAAGTTGGGAAGCAATACTTCCGAGTTACGAATGACTTTTACTTGATGGAATTGACTATGATGAAGGGTGGTGCGCGAGTGAGACTTGATGGAATTGACTATGATGAAGGGTGGTGCGCGCGTGAGACTTGATGGAATTGACTATGATGAAGGGTGGTGCGCGAGTGAGACTTGACCTTGATGAAGGGTGGTGTGAGCCTTTGCATTACATGACAATACATCAGGAAAGAACTTACTTTGATGAAGGGTGGTTGTGAGACTTTACAGTACATAACAATACATGAGTGAAGAACTGACTTTGATGAAGGGTGGTGTGAGACTTTACACTACATGACAATACAGCAGGAAAGAACTTACTTTGATGAAGGGTGGTAGATCACATAACAATACATAACATAACAATACATAACAAAAGAATAAGAAGCAGTGGAATTGACTTTGATGAAGGGTGGTGATAATGACGGGTGGTGACGAAGGGAAGTGGTGACGAAGGGAAGTGGTGACGAAGGGAAGTGGTGACGATGGGAAGTGGTGACGAAGGGAAGTGGTGACGAAGGGAAGTGGTGACGATGGGAAGTGGTGACGAAGGGAAGTGATGATGAAGGGGAATGGTGAGGAAGGGAGGTGGGGACGATAGGAAGTGGTGAGGAAGGGAAGTACTGAGGAAGGGAAGTGGACGAAGGGAGGTGGTGACGATGGGAAGTGGTGACGATGGGAAGCGGTGAGGAAGGGAAGTGGTGAGTTGGGGAGGAAGCCGGAGCACGAAACCTTGTGTTTTTCCGTGTAAAGTGGCTGCAGCCGGCGATGAAAGGTACCTCGTGTGTGCGGCGGTTGCGGCTGCGGTCGTTTGGTTCCTTCTATGTGTTTTGCAACAATGATGGTTCCTGTGTGTGTAGTTCTATGCGTTTCTTGAAGTTGTGGTTGCAGATCTTATTGGAGTGGCTGCATGAATGTTGCATGGGCTATGTTGTGGGGAGGAAGCCGGAGCACGAAACCTTGCGTTTTTCCGTGTAAAGTGGCTGCAGCTGGCGATGAAAGGTACCTCGTTTGTGCGACGGGTGCGGCTGCGGTCGTTTTGTGCGCGAATTGTTCCTCCTATGTGTTTTGCAACGAGTGGTTGTGTCTGTGTGCGTAGTTCTATGCGGTTCTTGAATCTCATGGTTGCAGATTGCATTGGAATGGCTGCTTCATTGTCATCATTTGATGTTGCCCCGGGGACTTGCTGTATCACTCTTTGCGGGTTTGCCACGGGATGTTTTGCGAAACGCATTTAATGGCTGCATGAATGTTGCATGGGCTATGTTGTGGGGAGGAAGCCGGAGCACGAAACCTTGCGTTTTTCCGTGTAAAGTGGCTGCAGCTGGCGATGAAAGGTACCTCGTTTGTGCGACGGGTGCGGCTGCGGTCGTTTTGTGCGCGAATTGTTCCTCCTATGTGTTTTGCAACGAGTGGTTGTGTCTGTGTGCGTAGTTCTATGCGGTTCTTGAATCTCATGGTTGCAGATTGCATTGGAATGGCTGCTTCATTGTCATCATTTGATGTTGCCACGTGCGTATATAGGTGCGGGTTTGCCACGGGATGTTGCGAAACGCATTGTAATGGCTGCATGAATGTTGCATGGGCTATGTTTTGGGGAGGAAGCCGGAGCACCAAACCTTGTGTTTTTCCGTGAAAAGTGGCTGCAGCCGACGATGAAAGGTACCTCGTCTGTGCGACGGGTGCGGCCGCGGTCGTTTTGTGCGCGAATTGTTCCTCCTATGTGTTTTGCAACGAGTGGTTGTGTCTGTGTGCGTAGTTCTATGCGGTTCTTGAATCTCTGGTTGCAGATTGCATTGGAATGGCTGCTTCATTGTCGTCATTTGATGTTGCCACGTGCGTAGATAGGTGCGGATTTGCCACGGGATGTTGCGAAACTCATTGTAATGGCTGCATGAATGTTGCATGGGCTATGTTTTGGGGAGGAAGCCGGAGCACCAAACCTTGTGTTTTTCCGTGTAAAGTGGCTGCAGCCGACGATGAAAGGCACCTCGTCTGTGCGACGGGTGCGGCTGCGGTCGTTTTGTGCGCGAATTGTTCCTCCTATGTGTTTTGCAACAAGTGGTTGTATCTGTGTGCGTAGTTCTATGCGGTTCTTGAATCTCATGGTTGCAGATTGCATTGGAATGGCTGCTTCATTGTCATCATTTGATGTTGCCACGTGCGTAGATAGGTGCGGGTTTGCCACGGGATGTTGCGAAACGCATTGTAATGGCTGCATGAATGTTGCGCGTGGCACTTTTCTTCTTTGTTTTTGTGTATTTCTTGATATTGAAGTTTTTTCTTCATTACTATTCTTAGTAGTGGAATGCTTCTTGATTTATGTTTTGGGGGGGGGGGGGGGAAAGGAAAGCGGAGCACGAAACCTTGCGTTTTTCCGTGTAAAGTGGCTGCAGGCGACGATGAAAGGTACCTCGTGTGTGCGACGGGTGCGGCTGCGGTCGTTTTGTGCGCGAATTGTTCCTCCTATGTGTTTTGCAACGAGTGGTTGTGTCTGTGTGCGTAGTTCCATGCGGTTCTTGAATCTCTGGTTGCAGATTGCATTCGAATGGCTGCTTCATTGTCGTCATTTGATGTTGCCACGTCCGTCGATAGGTTCAGGTTTGCTACGGGATGCTGCGAAACGCATTGTAGTGGCTGCGTCAAGGTTGCTCGGTGCTGCGGCTGCATGCGTGATACTATTGTCTTTTGCAGCTGAAGATCGTAAATCGTATTGGAATGGCTGCATCAAGGCTTGAAAGTGATTTGTCAGCAGATTTTCTCAATTTTGGCGCTAATAATTTTCCTTTTAAAATTCCTTTTAAAAAGTGCTTCAAAATCGTCTTTTTGTCGCTTTGGCGTCGAGATCCGGTTGTGGAGCTGCAATTTCCGACGCCATTGCACGTAGTTCTATTGTGTTTTGCAACTCAGTCTCTGCAGATCGCATTGTAGTGGCTGCGTCAAGGTTGCTTGGTGCAGCGGCTGCATGCGTAATACTATTGTCTTTTGCAGCTGAAGATTGTAAATCGTATTGGAACGGCTGCATCAAGGCTGCGAAAGTGATTTGTCAGCAGATTTTCTCAATTTTGGCGCTAATAATTTTCCTTTTAAAATTCCTTTTAAAAAGTGCTTCAAAATCGTCTTTTTGTCGCTTTGGCGTCGAGATCCCGGTTTTGGAGCTGCAATTTCCGACGCCATTGCACGTAGTTCTATTGTGTTTTGCAACTCAGTCTCTGCAGATCGCATTGTAGTGGCTGCGTCAAGGTTGCTTGGTGCAGCGGCTGCATGCGTAATACTATTGTCTTTTGCAGCTGAAGATCGTAAATCGTATTGGAATGGCTGCATCAAGGCTGCGAAAGTGATTTGTCAGCAGATTTTCTCTATTGTCTTTTGCAGCTGAAGATCGTAAATCGTATTGGAATGGCTGCATCAAGGCTGCGAAAGTGATTTGTCAGCAGATTTTCTCAATTTTGGTGCAATGTGAAGTCGTGAGGAAAGTGTTTGCATTCTACCGGGGTCGCGCGCAGGTCATGTTCTTGGACAGCAACACTGCAACAGCTTCGCACAAAGCACGCACGCACGGGCCTGGCTGGCGCACGGCGCATGCAAGTTCCTTAGTAGTAGTACTGGGAAGTGATTCATGAAAGCTTAGGTGACATATGAGAAGAGATGAGATGAGAAGAGATGAGCTGGGATAAGGTGAGAAGAGATCAGATGAGATGAAGTGTGGAGTGTGAAGAGTGCAGTGTGAAGTGTGGGGCGTGAAGAGTGCAGTGTGAAGTGTGGAGTGTGAAGTGTGAAGTGTGAAGTGAGAAGTGTGAAGTGTGGACTGTGAAGTGTGAAGTGTGGAGTGTGAAGTGTGGATTGGGGAGAGCGCAGTGTGAACTGAGAAGTGTGAAGTGTTGACTGCGAAGGGTGCAGTGTGAAGTGTGAAGACTGTCAAGTGTGAAGTGTGACGTGGGGCTTCAAGTGTGACATGTGAAACACGACATCAGTTTCGCAGAGTGCACGCACGCACGGGCTTGGCTGGCGCACGGCGCATGCAAGTTCTATAGATGAGAAAGGTCTTATATATATCTTTGAGGCAACTTCCGCCCCGCCTCGTGCGGGTACTACTGGTAGTGAATTTTCCCATGAAAAATGGTGGTTTTCGATAGTTATGTTAGTTTACCAGAGGGTATATGATACCCGTGGGATCCATTGATTTTCCCTTTAAAATATCTTTAGGTTCCTCCACTCCGCCTCGGATTGCACTGAGGCGCCGTGTTCAACTCCTGGATGAACCCAAGGGCCAAGACCTATCGACAGCTTCACGGCATGCCTGAGAGCTGGGGAACCGCCGTCAATGTGCAGGCCATGGTCTTTGGAAATTTGGGGAAGGATTGTGCCACTGGGGTCTCTTGGTAGAAAGTTAGGGGATGAGCTGGGGAGATGGGAAGGTTTGTATAAATGGGATACTGTGAGAAGTTCTGAAATGGTGGGAAATTTGTTGAGGGATGGGATCTGAATCAAGGAAAATGATGAAAATTGAGACGTGAACCTACCTGTGGCGGTGGAGGTTTCCAGCCGGGAAAGCAACTGTAATCAACCATAAACGATGGGTTTTCCATTCTTCATGTTTGATTACTGGAGGGTATATCATGATATAATGATATATCTAGATGAACAAAGACCATGGACGTATGTCATAGAAATACGACATGATATGTGCTGCGGTCAAAACATGGCATATGGATGTTTATGGTTTTTGTGGTTTCTGGTCATAGATCCTACTGGGCTGTTCGATCCCTATTAACGAATTGATGTCCATCCCCCAAGATAGGTATGCAATCGATTCATGTAGTGCTTCTGAAAGATCGTGGGCAACTACATCCCCAACTCAATGGTACACTCCCCGGTTTCCATCCCTTTCCCGTCTTGAAGAAATGCCGGGATCGATGACACCATCCTTTGATTAGGTTTGGGATAGTTTGGGGATACCCTGCAGTAATCACCGATGTAGAATGTGTAAATCACGTGTGAACAATGGGCATTGACATGATTTAACCAGAAATGAAAGCATCAATGAACCATGGCTAGTACCCTCTGGTAGCCAGTCGCATGGTCTGCTGGAAAATCCACCAGCCACGTGACTCACTACCAGGGAGTACATCATGTCCAGATCGCCCCAAGATGGGAAAATCTACCAACCAGCTACTATCAATACAGGAAAGATCAGGCCATACCCAAAAAGGTGGAATATAAATACGTATATATATATATAT